ATCCAAGTGATATGGGGGGTTTGCAGACCCCTTCTCGATACGGCACGCCTGGACCTCAACAAGGTATGCCTTACGATCAGAACTCTCCGTATTCGCACCGCGCAAATGAAAGTCAGATGGTAAGTTGTTCCTCCGCCAGTCGGATACCCGTGCCTCAGAGCTTCAACTGACATGATGCCACAGTCCTACCACCATGGCTATGACACAAGCGTTGGCTCCATATACGGACCAATGTCTGGAGAACTGAATCATCAGGTAAGCTACTTCACGAGACTCAATGAAGTGGCCACTCACACAGTTTTGTGATTAGCCGTACAGCACCCCCGACACGTCACCACCTACGCCTTCACGGGCATCAGATGCGTTGACCACACGCAGCGGACTCAACATCCACAAAGGATCATCGACGATCAAACCGCTCGCGGCCCGAGCAACCCGTATCGAAAAGTCGACGCCTAAAAAGAAGAAGGAGAGAGCGAAGTCGTCCAAAAAGGTTGACGGCGTGACAAAACCTCTGAGCGAGTTGGCCAGGGAACAACCTCACATTCCAGTGGCAGACATTGGCGCTTACGTCCAGCGGTCGGCAGAGGCACGGATGAAGGAGGTCGAAGAGAGCAAAACGCCTGGCAGAATCAAGCGGCCGATGAACGCCTTCATGCTGTACCGCAAGGCGTACCAGAACCTTGCCAAGGGCCTCTGTACACAAAACAACCACCAAGTGGTGTCGCAGGTTTGCGGCAGCGGTTGGCCCCTAGAGCCAGAACAGGTGCGTGACCAGTTCAATGAATGGGCCAAGGAAGAGCGAGCAAATCACCAGAAAGCACACCCGGGGTATAAGTTTACGCCGTCGAAGCCGAGACCCAAGGCAAGGGAGGAAGAGGAATCTGAACATGGTGATTTGGATGACCTAGAATGGGGCCATAGTCGAGCGAGTTCAAGAAGCACACAGTTGAGGAAGCCTGCACACGGCAGAAGCGAGGCACCGGCATCCATTTTCCACAACTACCCATCACTCCAGACAAGTCCCATGGGTCTCGGCGTGCAGACGCAGTCCATGTACCACTACAGCAACCCTGGGAAGCCCTTGCCGGCTCCGTATAGCCAAAACGGCCTTGGAGGTGGTCAGTATTATCAACAGAGCGTTCATCAGCGACAGGACGCAACCGGCTTCGTTGAGGACGTGCTCATCCGAAAAACGCCTTCGCCGGCGATGGGATATGCGGCTCCGTCGATGGACAACCGTTACGACGGCATGGGTCAGTATGGACCTACGTCGCATAACGACGTCTTCGAGCCGATGATTGACCCAGGCTTGATGGGACATGGAGGTCATCCGTACGGGGATCCATACGGCGATCCCATGTTGGAGCCGAGATGGACTAACCCACTCGGTTTTGGCGACGGAAGACACGATCTTCTCGACGGCTTGTCGGGATACGACGAGAACCTCATGCACGACCCCCAGCTTCAGATCCTGAGGGGGCAAGAAAGCAGCTGGAGGGTAGAGGAACTTGAGGGCAGCCACTTCAACAATTGGATAGACCCAGAGTGAGCAACACCTAAGGCGATCCATCTCGAATTTTTTATGATGCTGGTCTCATCCTAGAGACTTTCTTTTTGGAAAATACGGGCGTTAGGAGCGTAAGGTACCGTAGAGCTCTGGCGGGATCCTTCATTTGATTTTGATTCTGTTCAGACTGGAGATAAGCGCGCAATTGGGAACAAACAGCATGGTACGCTGGGCGGGTGGAATGGTCGAATAAACGGATATTCTTCTAATCGGCGTGGAGCAACTGAGAAGACATAGGGGCCAGATCACATCGACGATAGAAATAAGTCTACTTACATGAAGTGCCCGACAACGCCTGATAGCACATTTTGTTGAACAGCTCGCCTGGCCAGTGCGAAACTGGTCGAATATGTGTATGGGAGTGGTAGACGTGATAGGCATGGTCCTCGGAGCATTTACAGGCACATGGGATTGATCCTCCATGGTATTCAATGCGTCCGTGTACAGGTGCGGCACCCGGGGGGGGGGGGGGTGATAAATAAGTTCGCAGGGTCGGGTGCAATTCAACGACGTTGAGTGTATGATGAATCCAGTGGTTCACAGGACAAACTCGATAGTGCTTCGTCACCTACATAAATGCATATTATGCTAATAAGAGCTAGCTTTACTGAGCCTTATTAAGTGCATAACACATTGTGTCCTGTTAAGACCAGCAATGCAAGCTTCCCTAGAGCCATGGACACGCTCATTAGGTTGATAATCTTGATAGGGCTGAGATAATCGATGCTATTGACGTGGAGTCTACGAACGACAGACCTCCCTCCCGGCTCTCAACATCGGCCTTGCTTTGTTACCTAAACCGCTTTTCTGTCGACAAGTTGACGCCAAGTCGATTGTGTTCGCCATCGCAGGACCGATCAACAACGCAAGAGCTTGCGCACCCCTCTTGGGGCTGTCCCATTCAGTATACAACCGCATCGCATACACACCATGACCTGGATTTCGCGCTCCATCACGGCCATTGGTCTGCTGCTGCTTGGTCACGCGTAAGTCCTGCCGCCACGGCACAACAACGACCGGCCATACTAACCTCCGGCTGATAATCTAGCTGCTACTCGGCACAAGAGCATTCCGTGCTTCAGTCCTTCCGAGCCGCGTCGCCCCTAGCAACATCCACACCGGCCGCTACCACGTCGTTACCGGCAGATATCACCATCGAAACAGCTGTAGCGACGGTGGTCATCATTCTTGGTCTTGTACTGGGCGCTCCGAACCTCCGACCGATTCAATGGCGGGTATGGGCTGGTAAGATCGAGAGAGAGGGGGAGGTAGGGTTCCTAGCAGGCAACGGGGAGGTGGAGAAGGATTATATTGGCAATCCGTTCCGCATTCTTGAGAGCCGACCGGGCTTCGTCGACGTTCGGAAACAGAGACGCGATTTCGCCAACTGGGTCAAGTCTGGCGAGAAGATGAGGAATGTGGTCACTCCACACTGAAGTCAAGACAACGACCGCTCGAGGAGAGAGACACTATGCGTTATAGTCACCCCAATACAATACCGTATAGCTAGGTCTTGGTGCATGATTCTCTTCACGGCTTACCTGTTGTCGTAAGGGCTCGCAGCTGGACGGCGACTGCGCAACATTTTTACGAAAATCCGTCGGCCCTCGCAGACTGCTACGGAGAATCATCCAACATGGGTCTAAGGTCACTGGTATGTCTCCTCGATATAGCCTTCGCCTGTGTTTCTTCAGTAAAGCAGTTTTCTTAGCAGATAACCTCGTAAAGGAGACGGAAGAACCTGGACCTGAGACGGGTCACTTTGTCTTTCTTCTGTCTGATCATTTCCGTCCGGTCTTTGAGCATCTTGTTGTATCAGGAAAGCCTTGGGCTTGGTAGATTAGTACTACCTAGCAGGTACCTAGTTTGCTATGGACAATATCCCCAGTCACCCAATCCGTTGCTCCATAAGTCAATCGCATCTTGCTTGCTGCAGGCTTCTCCAGACTCTTTGGTGAAGTCGCATAGTCGATGATGCAGTGTGGACTGCCGAATAGTCGTCGCATGCTGAGTCCGAACACCGAAACCTGTGTATGGCCCTAAGCTACGGGCACGAACTGTTGGTGTGGTCGGGTCATATCTTTTGGTTTCCCGGTCTCTCGAACCTGTCTGCAACTGCTGTTTTGTCGAAAGTATTCGACACCTGCCCCCTGCCTCCTCCTCTTCTTCTCTTCCGAGGCAGGTACGCTGGCCCAGACAGGTAGGTCATTGCCATAGGCATAGCACCTACCAAGACGGTCGTTGGTACAGATTGACTTCACAGGCAAGAGCTTCTGGTGTAAGGCTGGTACCTGTCTCCGGAGTTAGTCTTCCAACACCCGGCCTGAGTTCATCCAACCGTTCGTCCTCACCTGGCTTTGGTTTGTTCTATTCATCTCCCTTCGAACGGGTTAGAAACGCCTTATCTCTCAGCTCGGCCCTTCTAACCGGTCTTGTAGATACACTTCGCCCGTCTTATACCTCGGCATGTCGGGACAAAGCAGAGTCAACTTTGGGTCTTGGCGGACTCGACCTCATTCCAGGGGAGGCTCAAGCCGTAGCCTGGGGGGCGCTTCACAAAGGAGCTTGTGGGACACCCCAGGAAGCATATCGGCGAGGAGCTCAAGGACTCCTTCTCGCTCAAGAGGCCGCTTTGCTCGTGCATCTCGCGGGACTCGAGGCACTTCGAGTCTCATCGGTCCAACACCCACTTCACCCATCTTCTCAACCCCCAATGGTACCCATCAGAATTCGCCCATAATGCAGACAGACTCGATATCTGGAGCAGAGAACAGTGAAGTTTCAGAGAATCGACGACATCCAATTGACGGAGCGAATCGATTGACACTGCCTGCTAGCAGCTATCGCGTGTTTTCTACGCCGGCTCGGTACTTGTCTCGTGATGGGCTCCCGCACACGGTATCGAGCGAACTTCGGGAGCATTCAGTCACCAATGGACAAGCCGCCGCTCACGTTGAGCGGAGGAACAAAGTCATCGTCGCAATCGCCATTAGAGAAAAGAGCGAGCTTGGTTGCGCTTACTACAACTCTGACGAAGGCAATCTCTTCCTGCTTCGAGACATGCCGTTTGCCGAACCACTGCAACTTGTCGAAGCAATCTTGATTCATGTCCAGCCCACGGTAGTTTTACTACCTCTTAAAACACCAGATGCAGTGGTTCAATTTCTTGAACAGCGCAGGAGTTCAGTGGACCAAGGTGGGCTGGTTTCCTGGCAGGCTTTAGCACGAGCGCTGATGGTATCCTTTTCCAGGTTTCGAGACAGAACACTACATCCTTCGCTTACTCAGTTCAAACGAGTTCAGTCATGCAGCCTCCCTGGACAAGCTGGCCAGCCTGTCAGTGATCTACCCGGAGCACGCCCTCGTGACGGCTGCAGGCAATCCGATATCCCACGGTGACTCCTGGGAACAGTGCCAAGCCTTCCGAACCATGCGTCTAGGGTCCTTCATTGACCTTGATAGCATCTTGTCGGTAGGCTGTCATGAATTGAAAGACACAATCGTATTCAAGCGCTCACAGAAATTAGATTGGATGTGCTGGTGCCCTTCTATGTGAAACCGTACGCCTGCAAAGCGTGGAGCAAGGTTCGGGCGGTCCAGGAGGAGCCTTCATCACCTCACTTCGAATGTTCACGCTGGCTGACTTCATGTTTGTCAACGCCGATACACTATCGTCCCTCCAAGTGTTCCAGTCAGAGCTGCATCCCAATAATCTAATGTCAGGTACGGGTACGGCGGCCGCTGGGTTGAAAGAGAGTTTGTCCCTCTATGGTATTTTCCATCCGCTTGCTGGCACGCCCCAGGGGAGGGCAGAGCTCAGGCAGCTGTTTCTACGCCCGCTAGTCAACATCGACATTATTCGAGCAAGGCACAATGCAATATCAGTGCTCCTGCAACCCGGTAACGAGACAGCTCTTGAGGACATTACGCAGACCTTGAAAAAGGGCATGGACATCAAAAAAACATTGGCTCAGTTGCAAAGGGGCGCAGAATCACCCGCCAATAGCACATCGGTCGAGCGTGGCGTGTGGTGGAGCTTGGCTAAGTTTTCGCTGTTTGTGTTGCGGCTCAGAGAGGCGGTTCTTGAACTACGACACTGGCGCGAGGTGGCGATTTTTCGACAGGTAACCCACGTTGGAAATCCAATCACCAGTTTTCTGGCTAACATGCTCATATAGATCATCGCAGCTATCCCTGTGGCTACAATCAAAAGTATTGGAGAACTAGTTGGGTCGACTGTCGACTTCGAAGAAACCAAGGCAAGCTCGCGCATTTCCGTTAAATGGAACGTTAATCCCAAGCTTGACAAGCTCAAGCAAACATACCATGGACTGGACTCGTTTCTGAGTGAGGTTAGCATATCACTGGCCCGTGAGCTTCCAGAGTGGGCCCGAAAGTACGTGACCGGTTGCATCTTCTGGCCTCAACTAGGGTTCCTCACGGTGGTGCCTTTGCTTCGCGACACAGGCGAGTCAGGTTATGAAGGGCAAGGACTAGACAATGACCGTTGGGAACAACGCTTCGTTGCCAACGGAAACGTATACTATAAGAACAAAAGCATGTTGGAGTTAGACGCTCAAATCGGCGACACTTACAGCAGAATTGTTGGTCTGTGGACAGCCTTTTCCCGCATTATGCGCATATTGCTGAGCTTTTCGTAGATCTGGAAGTCGAGATCCTGCACAGTCTAGCCTGTCAGGTTCTCAAGTGCGCTTCTACGCTCAGTTGCGCGTCTGAAGCGTGCGGCGAACTTGACTGTTTGGTGGCCTTGGCAAAGGGGGCGCTCAAGTATGGTTGGACGAGTCCAAAGATGACAACTGACAATGTTTTATCAATTCGGAGAGGCCGGCATCCGCTCCAAGAGTTGACCGTACCGGCATTCATTCCTAATGATTGCCATCTTGTTGGCGGCTCCGAAAATGACTTCGAAACACGGGCGGTATCATCGGCGAATAAGGGTCCGGGAGTCAGCATGCTCGTCGTCACAGGGCCCAATCATTCTGGGAAGAGTGTGTACATCAAGCAGGTTGCTCTGATTGTTTACCTTGCTCATATAGGGAGTTTTGTGCCTGCTGATGACGCCACCATCGGCATCACTGACCAGATCTTGACCAGCATCTCGGCACGAGAAAGCGTATCGCTGACAGAGAGCTCTTTTGGTACTGATTTGAGGCAGATCTCATTTTTACTAAGATGTACAACCCGCCGTACTCTGGTTGCCATCGACGAGTTTGGCAAAGGAACAGCTGCCGATGATGAGTCCGGGCTCATGGCCGCCCTCATCGATCATTTTACTACTCTCAGCTCACAGACCCCCAAAATTCTCATTGCAACGCACTGCCATGATATTTTTGAAGGTGGCTATCTCAAGGGCCGACCAGAGATGTTTCTCGCACACATGAATGTCCGCCTTGACCTCGAGGCGGAGCATATGGAAGACCAGGTGGTCTTTCTATACCAACTGATGCCCGGAAAAAGCATGTCAAGTTTTGGGAGTAGGTGTGCAGCTCTGAATGGGGTCGAGGCCACTGTGGTAGAGCGAGCCGAAGCAATTACACTTCTCCTGGCTCGAAATGAGGACCTCGGAGCGGCATATGTCAAATTAGATGTCCAAGACGAGGCCCGGCTTGAAGAAGCCGAGAACGTCACCCGTGGGTTTCTCCGACTCGCTTTAGAGTATCCAAAGGTGACCCACCCACAAAATGGGAAAGACAACCAGGAGGATTCTCTTGGGACGAGCCTAAGCAGGCTCTTGGCATACAGTGCCTGCAGTTCAAGGGGCGGCGGAGCTACGTAATATGGCGTGTCGCCAACCACGGGCAAGGAGATATGTCGATCTAAGAGGGTATCATGAGAATGGAGGAAAGTGGACAATTCGCACCTGAAGGAGCTAAAGAAACAACACCACGACTCTGGCGATATGTCGGTGTGTTAGAAGGGTTGGTTTAGAGGCGGAAATCCACGGCTGGACCAAGCTCGAGGGACATGCCTCACAATAGGCCAAGGGTTTATCTAGCAAGACAACAGACACCATGCATATGCTTATCATATATTTCGAAATAATTGCATGGGAGAGATCACGCATTCCCTAGCTGACTCGTAATGTCTATGAGCGTTCCTGGGTACACTTGTGGGGTAACTCTTCATAGGGTAGACAAACGGTTCGTTTGCAGATCCCTGTTCCGAACTGCATGTTGTCGTTCCAACCTTGCAAAATTAGGTGCTGGCGGGTGTAGCCGCTGCGAACCAACCGAACGCAATCTTACCAGCCTTGACAACGGGCTTAGTTGCATGCCCTCGCATGATACCTTGTCCCAAATCCTTTCGAGCCTGCTTCAAGTACATATTGAAGTGCCAGTTCCAGACTGCCTCCCCGATATCAGACGTAACTTTTGCCCGTGAGGCTGCCTACCCCAAATCGATGTCCCGTCTCCAAACTTACAAATTTGCTGTGCACGCGCGCGAAGTTTTGATACCACTACGTCTACAGACTCGTTTCGAGTGCCTGGATAAATGGCGTCGAAATCACCTGTAGGCCTGGAGGACAGGTTCGAAGACGTCGACGACGAGGATGTCTACGCCCGCGTCAAGGCAGAAGCTGCTAGTGACAAGGCTACCAACTTTGTAGTCGAGTTCAACTTTCATGAGTCGAGGATCGCGTTTAATCTAAGATCCGAAGACTTCGGGGTACTCCTTGGCCAGAAGGCCCCCGAGGGCACGATACGCTGGATTAACATTTGGTCTCCAAGCACTCAAACCTCGACCGTACAGCAGATTGGTAACCGCTATGGCTTCTCTCAGCGACTACAAGCCATAATGATGGCCCCCCCCCCCTTTGCTATCTTTGCCAAAATCCGGTAAGAAACAGTTGTCCAAGCCAAACGATATCGAATCAGTGTCGATGTGCAACGAAAATAAAGTACAGCCGTCAGCTCGGGCTACATCACAGAGCTCAGAGAACCTCGAGATTTACCAAATGATCAAGGAGACGGTCAACTACACATCGATCGACCGAGGGAAGCAATGTGGGTATTCACAGGGACGTGACTATTGTAGGCGTCTAATTTGAGGCAGTTCTTTGTATTGGCGCCAACTGGTTACACCGTCGACCTTCAGGCCGTGACAACGAAGAGCCCCCGAGAGTGTTGCCACCATGGCACTGGTCCTGGCTTACCCTCTGCTCTGACTGTACGTCATAAATGCGATTCTATACCCTATGTTTTCTGGTGAAACTTGTGACAAGATAACCACTGTCTTAGCCGTCGTTGTGTCGTTCCACGAGACGCCGCCGACAGAGCATCTGGAAAGGGATGACTGGGCCAGAGACGAACTGCGGAGCATGCGATCCAACACTCTCAGTGTTCTCTCCAAGCTCTCGAAGCACGGTGTAACAGACTTTAGCCATAGGCTCGTCTCGTTCAAGCGAGTCAGGCAAGCGATGACTGAGACGGAACCTCAAAGCGATACGGCATATGAAGGCTCAAGCAATCTGTTTTACTACTTGTTTGAGAATATTCTTCAGCCACGCCCGTGTTGGAGGCTTCCAAGCTCCGTCTTGAACAGTTGGTAAGTGGGAACCAAGCATATTACACCATCCGCCAATAAGCTGATGTGCGGCCCAACAGAGCGATCAGGTTTTCGGGAGGTCGGTAGGAGAAGAGAAAGACTCTGCTGCTTTGCCATGCCCTCTGGAGGTAAGCATACTGATTTTGACTTCTACAGAACCGAAGAAGCAAAGCCAAGACGGACGATGTCGTTAAGTTTTTGCACCAGTTGAGCAAGGAACTACGCCAACTGCACCATCTTTTGAAAGCTACAAACATCTTATTCGACGCATCTGCTGGCCCCGATCGCTTGATGCATATCAAGAGGGCCGTTGTGATGATTCTGAGCTCCTAGAAAGCCTGTATGGCGAGGTCAATATATCCTCATCAGCAAGAAGTCGCTTTGAACGCCTCAGGGACAGACTGCGACTCTTGATGCTTAACACGATCCAAGGGTGCTTGGAAGAGCAAAAGGCCTTGTCAGACATGGTAAGCTGCTCCCAAGACATTGGGCCATCCTGATTAGTTGCCATCGACGCTTACTAGGTTACAGTATTTCAGCCTTACCGCCCAAAAGGACTCGCAAGCCACTGCCCGCTTGAGCAGGAGTGCAACCCTCCTCGCCAAACTAAGCGTCTTCTTCCTGCCCATAACTATTATGACCAGCTACTTCTCCTTCGAGATTCCCGACGTCGTGGAGCATTACACTCCCAAGACGCACTGGATCTGTTTCGCCGTAATTGCCGGTCTTTCCTTCATCAGCCTGTTCTTCTTCAGCCGCATGTTGGAAGCTGTAAGCGACACCCTTGAAGGCTGGGCCGATTACGTCTCGTGAAAAGCAAGCAATCTTGTTGGTTGAAATACGCACGACGACAGAAATGAGCAATGAGATGACCATAGGTCGGCTGATTTGTGTGAGCGCGATGGAAAGCTTGCCGGCACCCTTCATATCAAACTCCGCCCACGTGGTATATAACAGTCAGATATCCGCACAGAGCAACTGGGGCAGATTCCCATCATGATATTCCATCTCATTGTATGGCGCGGAAGATGGCGACTCCCACGCCAGCAGCGACACCAGCCATGCACGCCGCCGTCGGACGTGATGCAGCGTTTATGACAACGCCATTGACCGTTGTTGATTGCGAGCACTGGTCGTTCTCCAGGCCGTAGCAGGCGCGAGAGCTGAGGCTGGAGCAGATAGGGGTGGCCGACGTACCGACATCAGGCCGGGTGGCAGCGACTGTCGTGCCACCTCCGCCAGGAACAATAACGGTGACTCCGAAGCCGGAATTTCCGTCAAGTTGGGTGACACAGCTCTGGTAATTCCGAGAGCACTGACTGACGGCCGAGGAGCACTGGCCGCGGTCGAGAGATGTTGCGATGTACGGGAATGGGAAATATTCATTTGGCACGTATGAGACGGCCGTGGGAGCGCTGGGCGCTGTTGTCGGAGCCGTGCCGGTGCATACAGCTCTACAATGTCCAGTCATGTGTTAGCTTCTCTCATACCGTGACGTGAGACTGTCTACCCGGTTCATCCATACCCTTCAGGACAGCATGCTGGCCGGTTGTTGTCGTCGAGTTCGCAGAGCTGCCCTATTGCGCAGCAGACGCCCTCGAAGCTCGAGCCGAGCGAGCCTGAACACATAGAAGTGCCAGCCGGGCAGTCTTGACGCCTGAATAGTTGCAGCGGCGACCCGCCTGCTACATATGCCGTGGTCGGGGTCGGCGCTCTAGTTTGAGCTGGCGTTGGGGTCAGCTCTGCGACTGTAAAGAACGAGCCTGTCGCTGAAAGGTGTACGAAGCGTATCGTCCACCGTGATAACCTCATGGTTCCCCTAGTCCAATGATGCAGATCCAAGCCAGCGAGTTTCGATAAACGGTCCTTTTCATACCTCGCCGCGTAGCTCGAAACAAAGCAGCGTCGCCTGGGCGACTTCAAAATTGTGCTACAGGAGCGTGATGCCTCCTTTGGGAATGGAAGCCGACGGATGCCGGGTGATGGGTATATTGTCCAGAGCAGCCTAGCCGTGAAACCGGTTTAGGATGATAAGCAGCAGCAGCAGCAGCAGCAGCAGCAGCAGCAGCAGAAGCAGCAGCACAGCAAGCACAACAAGTAGTAGGCGGAGGAGGAGAAGAAGAGAAAAAAAGGAGGAGTAGAAGGAGAAGGAGAGAGGGGCTCGGAACTATAGCAGTGATATTTTTATTCGGTTCCCAACTGGTCAAATCGATGACCAGGCCTCAATTGTCAACTTGCTTCCCTCTTCCCTGTTCGTTATTCGTGGACCATTATCCTGCTGCGCAAGTGCGTACAAGAAGTAAGACGACCAACCCCGCCCACGTCTTTTTGGTGGGTTGCGTGCAATGCACACGAATCCTTTCCCTGTCTCTCGGATTAGTTAGGCCAAGAGGGGCCCAAAATGGATGAGGTGGCTGGGCTTTGCTGGCCAAGTGGGCAGCAAAAAGGTGCAATCGCATGATGTCATTGGATAAAGGGTAGTTGACACAGCAACCCCAGCCCTCACACCACTGGGTTCCTCTTCCGGTTCATGATCTCGAGATGGACTAACGGCCCCGGACATGCGCTAGAATCTGTTGTAGCCGTCGAAGTGCCTGCATCCCGCCGGGGTCTGCAGTTGTCGCTGTCCCCTGCTCACGCGCCTCATTGATTTCTTTCTGCGCTTCTCGGGCAAGGAAGCCGAGGTCGCCCCAGACTTGGTCTGTGTAGGTGGCAAGCACGTCGGCCCAACTGTCTATCCACATAGCTTTGGCTTGCTGCGGATCGGTGACGCCAAAGTGCTGTAGCAACTCGGCTATGTTGCCTTCTTGAAGGAAATTGGGTTGGAAGTCGAGGAGGGTAGTCCAGTTGGAGGCGGGGCCATCGCCGCTACCGCTAAAGAGCGCCTTTCTTAGCGACTCTTCTTCACGCAGTGAAACGAAGCTGTGGAGGTTGTCAATGGCTTCCAAATCGTCCAACTCATCTGGGGCAGTCAGCAGATCAATGACTTGCTGGCCGTCCCTAGCTTCTTGTTCGTTGACATCAGACCGGATTCTCAAGAAATGAGAGTTGTGCGAAGTGTTCGTTGAACCAGCGAGGCCGTGCTGAGCTTCATCTGGTATCTGTAACTGGACCGAGATGTCAAGCGCTGGTTGAGCTCCCTTGAAGCCCTCGTACTGTTGTTCGCCAGCTGTGGTTGAGTGTCTTGATGATGAGAATGCGGACCCAATACCAGTATCGTAATTATCTCCGCCACGATAGGTAGCAGCCTGGTCTCTATTTACAGAGCCTTGGTTTGAGCTGGTGCTGGCTTCGGCCTGCGCGTACGCCTTTGCAGCAGCCGCGTTCCGAATAGCCTCAGCATTAGGGCGGCCTTCTAGGGCGGCGCGAGAAAGGCTGGCTGCCGATGTCGCGAGGCGATTTGCAAACGAAGGCCCGGATTGCGAATCGTCGTCTCCCCGAAGGGATCGATTGTTGCTTTCGCTGTGGACCCCAGCACCAGCAGGCACAGCAGCAGAAGCTTCCTTGTCCTTGCCTTTGAACTTTGGATCGACGTCGTGGCTACTACGTTGATTCATGAGATAGGCGGTATGAAGCACTGAGTTTCTTGTTTTCAGAGCAAGCAAGGTTGAGAATGATTCCAATAAAGGACGCTGTGGTGATTAATTGGCAAAGTTTAGTTGGGTAAGCCGGTGGCTCAGCCGGAGGAGTGTCAGGAAACCGAGGTTCCTGCTTGTGAACTGTACATATTCGCTGGAAAGTATCCGAGCGGGCCCGAACAGAACACAGGGCGATAGGTTGACCGCCGGCTGCTCCATTTGGCTGGGAGACTCGCAGCGAATTGCTATGTTGAACGAGGGGGATCGATCCAACACACGTTGGCAGCACATGCCAAATTTCTCAGCACAGATTCAATAGTGCGTGAACAATGATCTCGTCATGTTGCTCGATTGTTAAGTATGACCTAATCCCGGAGGAACATACTTAATGGCTGAAAGGGAGGAAGAAGCAGCGGAACAGATGTGAAAAACGTGTTCTCAACAAAATCTCACTTGCGTTCTTAGGATATCTGCCTACGCAAGGCGATGTCAATACCATGGGGCATTGATATCAATACAAAAGAATTCAGAGATACCAGAGCCCGAAGCCACTCAGGCCTCAAAAAGAATCGCGCAGGCTTTGAAGGGTTTTGAAGATTGATTCTTGCCCCGGAAAGGTTTCTTACACTGCCAGAAACAGCGGTTGGCCTGCACAGCACTGCTCCAGACCTTTTGGCATATGTAAGTACGATGTATATAACTGAGCCTATACATACATACCGGCGGCGAGTGGAAGATGCGTTAGCAAGCAGCGGGGTGATGCCACCATCTTGACACACCCAAGCCGCACTCCACGTGGATTCGAAGGGCAACATGTCCGAGTGGTTAAGGAGCCAGACTTGAATTTAAACTCTCCCCATCTGGTGGCTTCGGCCGCGTAGGTTCGAACCCTGCTGTTGTCGACTTTTTGTGCCGTCCGGGTTCTTCCCCAACCCGATACCATGAGTTAGCTCTGTGTTTTGTTCTTCACGGGCTTGTCGTTATGATATTTGATGTGTAAACGCGGGAAGGCAGGAGCGAGACCAGCTTGGTCGGGTAGCGCAGCTCAAGCTTCAGATTTGTGGATGCGATCGGTACGCCCAGCACCCCTCATCATGCTTGGGTCACCTGCTGGACGATTCCGGAACCCAGGCCCTTAACCCCCGCTCTTGGTACAGCAAGAGTTCGTCAAATATCAAAAAGTGTTGTATTCCACGTTGCTTAGTGTTTCCGATGAAGGCCTCAAAAATTTGGGCAAGATTGGTATAGCAAGGCACTACTGTACGTATCGAGATCCCGGCAGCACATAATTAATGTATAACTACCTAGGTAGGTAGGTACCTCAAGGCAGGGCCCAACAGTTGCAAACGACTTCACACATCACTTAATTATTTTACTCCTCTAACCTACCTGCCTCAGCTGCGTTACCTAAGCTGGCTACTGACGGTACCTTCTTCTGCCCTTTCTGACGCAAGCACCCTCACTCGCTCACCACCTGCCTTGCCTTGACGGCGGCGTCTATTCCCACCTTACTCCCATCCCGCTTCCAGCCCCAGTCAGACCCAGACCCAGACCGGGTCCCAATACGGCACCGCGCACACTACCCACCACCTACCTAGGTAGTGCACACAGTAATACACAACGAGCGCAGCAAGCAGAGCACACCAGAGACAGCAAGCAGCAGGGCAGGCAGCCCATCGGTCAGAGCAATACCCATTCATCGACCTTCCTAGCGTCACCTCTTTCTGTCACATCCATCACCGCACCACTTTCCCACTCTCTCACACATACCCCCCCCCAACCTCAACCTTGCGCATTCCTACACCCTGTATCTGGTCTGCCCGCTACCCGCGCCGCGATACCCCCCTCCTCCGAAGAAAATACCGTGCGACTCCCGACCAACATCCCCAGATCGCCGCCAAAACCCTCCCGTCGCTGCATCCGACGAACTACTTGTCTTTTGCAATCCTTAGACACATTCTCCAAATCCTGCACACGCGGACATATACGCTTCTTCGCCGTCAAGGAGTCCATTCATCTCCTCGACCCAAGGGTCTCCCTTTCCCCCTCTTCTCCGTCAACTTCGACCCGCCGGACCTACCTTATCACAAAGGAAACAAGAAAGCCCTTGGCAACCTATACGTCGCCGCAATCGCCCCTCGCCCTCTCTCCTCCGTTCGCCTGCGTGTTTTTACGTCGACTGCGCACATCGCCCCAGCTACCCTTCAACACCACAGCCGTTACGCCTCTCGAACTACGATCCTCGTGTGGCTCATTCCAGCCCTATCCACCTCGTCCCGTGCTGAAAGATAGCTTCCTTTCCGCCGTACAACTAAAGCTTGCCCCTCGTTCTCTCCGTGCCCCGCCACCTCGCTTCTTCCTTCGCCCATCTCAACATCTACAAGTCCATCTTTTAACCATTCCAGAGCTGGTCAGCAATCATGGTGGACAGTGACACGAATTCCCCTACGTGGAAGTTCACCCAGTATGTGCCCGCCAGCCTATTCCATGTTTTCTTTCCATGGCCAACTTGGCTGCCGCCCCACCCATGCTTGACCGAGTGCTCACGCGACGCAATAGGTGCTTTGGAGACAAGGGCGACGTGGAGGACATCACTGAAGGTCAGTAATCAACCCTACAGCTTTGTCTGTCGCTGCTGCCCCCGTCACCTTAGGCGAGACTCCGTTGCGTGCCCATTTCGAGCTGCGAGTATCTGACATCTTCTCTAGCTGACATCATCTCGACGGTCGAGTTCGATCACACGGGCAACTACCTAGCGACGGGAGACAAAGGTGGTCGGGTCGTGCTCTTCGAACGGAACGAGACGGTAAGTTGGATCTGTTCCGTCAATATACGGCGGATGCATGCTGCACAGCTCTTGCTGATGACATCGAACAGAAAAAGACATGCGAGTACAAGTTCCACACGGAGTTTCAGTCCCACGAGCCCGAATTCGACTACCTGAAGTCTTTGGAAATAGAGGAAAAGATCAACAAGATCAAGTGGTGCCGCCGACAGAATGCATCCCACTACCTGCTCTCAACAAATGACAAGACGATCAAGTTATGGAAGGTCTTTGAGAAGTCGCTCAAGGTCGTGGCTGAGAACAACTTATCTGACGATCTGACTCCCGCAAACCTCGCCGGTGGAGGAGGCGCTCCGAAACAGTCGCCTGCGCATCGCTTTAAGAATGCCGAGGACCTCATTATGCCCCGCCTCACCCACCACGACACCGTTGTCGCCGCCGTGCCCCGCCGGACTTATGCCAATGCCCATGCCTACCACATCAACAGTATATCAGTCAATAGCGATGGCGAGACATTTATCAGCAGCGATGACCTCCGTATCAACTTGTGGAACCTCAACATTCAGGACCAGAGCTTCAACATTGTCGACATCAAACCGGCCAACATGGAGGAGCTGACCGAGGTGATAACTGCCGCCGAATTCCACCCACTAAGCTGCAATTGGTTCATGTACGCCAGCTCCAAAGGCACCATCAAGCTTGCCGATATGCGCCAGAGCGCTCTGTGTGACAGTCACGCAAAGCGTACGTGCTGCGTCCCCCCCCCCCCCCCCCCCCCCGTTACTCACAGTCAACATAATCTGACACGTTGCAGTCTTCGAACAAGAAGAAGACCCATCTTCGAGGTCATTCTTCTCCGAAATCATCTCGTCAATCTCGGACGTTCGCTTTTCTTACGACGGCCGCTACATTCTGTCTCGTGACTATCTGACGGTGAAGATTTGGGATATCAACATGGAGCGCCAGCCGGTCAAGACAATTCCCATCCATGAACACCTGCGTCCTCGTCTCTGCGACACGTACGAGAACGACAGTATCTTCGACAAGTTTGAAGTTGTCTTCTCAGGAGACGCCAAGAACGTCATGACTGGCAGCTACAACAACAACTTCATGATCTACCCATCGGATCCGGAGAAAGAAGTTGAGGTGGTGCTACAGGCCGACAAGTCTGCCTTCAAGGCCAAAAAGGTCGGCGTACCGACGCCCATTAATTCATCCACCAGCCCAACCGCAACCAATGGCGGCAAGAAGGGAGGTTCTCGTGCTGGTAGCCCTGCTGCCGGAGCTGGCGGCCAGGGCCAAAGAATGCGCAAGGAAACTGATGCCGACCAGATTGATTTCAACAAGAAGATCCTCCACATGAGCTGGCATCCATTTGAGGATAGCATTGCGATTGCGGCGACGAACAACGTAAGAACTCCCCGCCCCACAACCCATTTATCATTCACGTCATCGCCAAAACAATAGGAGCTAATGTTTTCACCTCTTTGGCACAGTTGTTTGTTTTTTCTGCACTATAAAGTCGGCAAAGGGCCAAAACAATGGAGGGCTAAGCTGTGTGGGGACGCTTATAGGCGGCACGCAGCCAGCGCTGCAGGGCAGTCGAACAAGTGTAGATCGTAGGCGTCGATTTCTAACGACAAGATGAATTTGGTCAATGGGACTAGCTGTGTACGATTCACGTCACAGCTGTGGCCGATTGCTACGATCGCCTCATCTCCTGCCTCTAGGACTGGAACTGGGAGGCGACGCCAGCGGCAGAAAGGATCCTGCTGGGTGCCAGGGCCATCAGAAAGTGCTTGGGGGGAGAGCGGAATGAGTAAAGTGGTAGTGGAAGTCATGAAAGAAGCACTACAGATAGATGGACCCGCCAACCGTAGCGCGGTGGGTGATGCCTCCCTGATTTCTACAGCAAAATTGAGGCAACGGAATTCTCACACTTGGATGATCTGTGTCCATGTGCTGTCAAGTGAAGGCGCGGCTGGCTCAGAAAATGCCTCCAAGGACTAACCACCCTTTGCCCATCTCGTCCGCTTTCTAGGTAGATGGGCAAAGCCGGACAAGGTATGGAAGTGGCAACAGATAGGAGAGAAGCTGGCAAGGTGGGGGGTCTAGGCCTACGCAGTTTGAAGCCAGAATATCGACCTTCTCAAGGTACCTAGGTAGGTACCTATCTTGGCATGAAAGTACGATGGTACCAGGCCGAAGTTGATTACCCCTGTTAGTTAATCAATGTTCAATCCCCCTACTACGGGACTTCACTTTTGGTGAATACTTCCCCTCTATTATAATATCGGCTATGGGGGATGATATCATAAGGGTAATCAACTCACCCCTGCCGTATTTGTGTCCATACGGCCATGGAACGGCCATTTCCTTATCTTATCAACCAGTGGTTTATCCGCGGCGTCACATAGCTGTCCTTCGGCCATCTCAGGATACAGCTCGGGTCAATCTGTACGCTTTTCAAACGAGAAGTGTAGCTTCAGCAGAAACACCGTACTACGGAACAGCTTGGCCTGGTTGTTTAGGGCAGGAAGTAGCTGCACAAATGGATTTACTATTTCTCCAGGCTTGAACCGAATACCATCTCGTATAAATCACATCTGGGACAAGAAGCTCGCCCCAAACGCAACACAAGTCAAATTGGTAGGCCCAAGCGCAGCCAGCTTCGGTTGGTTGTGCCGCTGTCATTGGCCACCCTCTGACTTAGTTGCGTTAAGTCTCCCTGTCCCGAACACGCCGTACCAATTACTACCTTTTCACTTTAAACCCAAAATAGAAAAAAATTCAATCCTTACAACTGGTTCCGTCCGTACCCCTAGGCTTCGACAGCCTCAATGTCCTCCCTGGCGACTACACGAAGACGCGGTCAGCCGAAAGGCATCTCACCGCTCTCCTCGGAGAAGATGGAAACCACCACCCGAGGCCACGATGACGAGAAGATCATCACCGACGACTCCAACGGAACCGCCATGAACGAATGTGCATCGACCGAGAAACCCATGCAAGCCGCTGGTCGCATTATCGCGGGCCTCTCTGCCCAATGGATTGCCGTTGGTGTCATGCTGGGCCTGATCTTCGGTGGATGTTGCTCAAATGTTAGCCGACTTGGTCCCTTCTCACTATCCAAGCGGCAGATGTGCTGACCTTGCCGTGCCCAGGTATACGCCTTGGAAGCCATTATCAAGTGAGTGCTAAGAATTATCCGGGTGTGCCTTCGGTTGCTAAGCGAACCTTTTCTACACAGAGTCGAACCCGCGAGTGGTACGTTTATTTACTTATTTTGCCCGTTTGTGACGGCCTGCTCATCAGCCCCGCGTGTAGGAACTCTCTTGACCTTTGTCCAATTCCTCTTCGTGGCCGTCACTGGATACTTCTCTCAATTTGACCGATCGCGACCCCCGTTCTTTCTGCAAGAAAACAAGGTTCCTTTGCGCCGCTGGATCATCAACATTGTGCTGTTCTTCAGTATCAACGTGCTGAACAACCACGCCTTCAGCTACGACATCTCAGTCCCCGTTCATATCATTCTCCGCTCTGGTGGAAGCATTACGACAATGATTGCTGGGACTCTTTATGGAAAGAAATACTCCCGCATTCAGATCTTGGCTGTCATTCTCCTGACCTTTGGTGTTATCACCGCAGCTTGGTCGGACGCACAATCCAAGGCAAGTGGCATTACTTGGGCGAAATAAGGCACGCTAACGATAGAAATTACAATAGGACTCTTCAAATACCGCCGGTAGAAGCGATAGACCCGCCTTTGGAACAGGACTTATCATCCTCTTCGTGGCACAGGTTCTCTCTGCCATCATGGGCCTATATACCGAGGAGACATACAAAAAATACGGGCCTCAGTGGAGAGAGAACTTGTTCTACTCGCACTTGCTATCTCTGCCCCTTTTCCTCCCATTTGCGCCGTCGCTTATACGTCAATTCCAACGGTTGGCCAGCAGCCCGCCATTATCGTTACCTGCCTTGGCACATCTTCCCGGCCTTGGCTTAGGCAAAAATACTGAAGGGGAAACAGCTGGATTGCACGTCCCGAGCCAGCTTGCCTACCTCGCAACGAACGTTCTTACCCAGTATGCGTGTATCAGGGGTGTCAATCTTCTAGCGGCCGTGTCTTCGGCACTGACCGTTACCATTGTGTTGAACATTCGCAAATTAGTCAGTCTACTCCTGAGTATATGGCTCTTTGGCAACCGGCTAGCTGTGGGAACGCTGCTTGGGGCGATCGTCGTGTTTGGTGCGGGTGGACTCTACTCATTAGATTCCAGGGCCAAGACCTCGAGAGTGCATAAGGGCTCAGATACGAAATAGAGCTGTAAGGCATGCATAGAGACGCCTTCATCGACCATAATAGATGAATTACCGCATTTCTCTTGGACCACTGTGGTAGACTGAGAACTTAGAATAGCAAGTCCCGGTTGACCCGTAAAACTGGCTTCGTTTTCATGGTCTATACTTAAGAGAGTCTCAATGATTTGTGGGTAGCAATGGCAACGGGGTGCTTTGCACCTCGTGAGTGAGCCTCGTATACGTACTGCCGGTCCATTCCACTGTTTTAGGACCCCGCCGTGACTACGTTGACGGAGGTCGGAGCTAACCGCTACCCCTCCCCTTAACCAACTGGCATCCCACAGGTATCCTGCTTTTATGCGATTAAGCGACATTACGATAGCGATAGGCCAAGATCTTATCACATAATTCTGCCGCCGTCATTCACGGATGTTTGCTTTAGCTTTTCTTCTTTTTTGGGGGGAAGAGCTCTACAGCACTGTACGGCAGGGTCCAAAGGCTAGATTATCGACATGGCTGGTATGTGCCCTTTTGAAGACTCTTCCCCAAACCGACGTGGTGGTTTTGTTTCACGCTGGTAAGTTGCTGCTCGTCTTTCCGAACTGCGACCGTCGAGTCTGTCATATATTGCCCAGCTTCGTGCACATACTGACGGTACGTCTCTACTTCAGACACATGAGTTCTTTGAAAAGATCCAACATCCGCCTCAACCTCTCCTAAGCAAGGAACCACATTCTCGCTTCATGACGTGGACACCGATTCCGACGGGGAACTGGCTGCCAAAGTCTCCCGAGGTGACACAGGTTCCGAGGGGTCAGAAGGGCAAACCAAGGACGACGCCCTGCCGTCAGATGTGGACCCTTTGTCCTCCCATGGACAGCAACACGACTTAGCTGGTCTGCAAGATGGCATGCTTCCCCGTGACCTTCCCACGCGGACCGCCTTTTATGATCCTGTTGCGGAGCGCCAGATGAGCCAGACAGACGCCAAACTTTTCTACCAGCGGAGCCAAATCGGCCAGCTAAAGACAGGCAGTGGTGTGTGGTCTCAGGGCCACTCCACGCCCCCTCACGGCAGCCCCGTAATTGTTGGCTCCGAGCATCGTGATATCCCTGCCGGCCCTCGAGACCTCGAGTACCCTGTGGATTCGTCCCCATTGGCCAAAGAAAGGACCATATCGAAGGTAAAGGCCGCGGCACATGAGGGCGCGATGCTGCCGGATCTGACTCAACAGCGGCTTGACCAAACTACTGACTTGGAGAGCTTCCTGCCCCCTCGGGACCATCCTTTTCGAGATGGCCCCGAACCGCTTGGGAATCGTGGCCCAGCTGCTAATGTGGGCTTGGATCACAACACTGGTTCCAATGTCCGCGCCCCGAATCATCCTGCCCTTGGTGTAGCCGCCTTCTCGGACACGGACCCACACATCACGGCTGAGCTCAGTGCCATTTCCAAGAATATTCAGAGCATTATGGACCTTCGAGAGAGGTATATTGGGCTATCACTTCAGGGGCCGGACGACAATCCTCGGGATGATCCGTCCTGGTCAATTTATCCACCTCCGCCCCAGCCAGCCTGGGGAGCAGAGCACGCAAGAGCCGTCGCCCCCGGCGAGCACCACGCCAGCACGTCCAACAGCCTGACCGGTAGCATGGTGTTGCCCCCTGCCGCTGATGACCTCGCGGGCCGCCAGGCACCTGGCGTTGAATCGAAGCCAACGGCCAAGAAGCGAAAGCCTGGCCAAGACATTGGCGAGGATTTTGATATGGACGATCTCTTACCCCTTCCCTCGGCCGACAATACAAGGTTCAAGCTCGACGACAGTGGTGTGTACCAAGTCTTTGAGGATGAAGCGGCCGAGGCCAGCGGGAACCCTATCATTATGGTTCCTACTATCCGTGAATTTTACATGGATCTTGACCAGATCCTAAGTATTTCATCGGATGGTCCTAGCAAGAGCTTTGCTTTCCGTCGCCTTCAGTATCTTGAGGGCAAGTTTAACCTGTACGCGCTACTCAACGAGTACCAGGAGACGGCGGACAGCAAGAAGGTTCCCCACAGAGACTTTTATAATGTGCGCAAAGTCGACACTCACGTTCACCACTCTGCCTGCATGAACCAGAAACATCTTCTGCGTTTCATCAAGAGCAAGATGAAGAAGTGCCCCGATGAGGTTGTGCTTTACCGCGACGATCGCCATCTTACCCTGGCAGAGGTGTTCCAAAGTATCAACCTCACCGCATACGACCTTTCTATCGATACCTTGGATATGCATGTAAGTCTGCCCCTCGAAGCAAAGGCTAATGCAGGGCCTGCAAACGCAACTGCTAATAAAGTTCCAAAGGCGCACACCGATTCCTTTCACAGATTCGATAAGTTCAATCTCAAGTACAACCCAATTGGCGAGTCTCGCCTTCGGACAATATTTCTCAAGACGGACAACTTTATCAACGGACTGTACTTGGCCGAAATCACCAAAGAGGTCATTGCCGACCTTGAGTCGAGCAAGTACCAGATGGTAGAATGGCGGATTTCCATCTACGGTAAATCGCTCGACGAGTGGGACAAGCTCGCCGCCTGGGTCGTGGACAACAAACTCTTCTCTCACAATGTCCGCTGGCTAATTCAGATCCCGCGCTTGTACGATGTGTACAAGGCGAGCGGTCTCATGGACACGTTTGAGCAAGTGGTGAAGAACGTCTTCGAACCTCTATTCGAGGTGTCAAGGGACCCTTCGAGCCATCCAAAGCTTCACATCTTCCTACAAAGGGTTATTGGTTTCGACAGCGTCGACGATGAGAGTAAGGTGGAAAGGCGTCTATTCAAAAAGTTTCCAGTTCCCAAGGTGTGGGATTCGAAGCAGAACCCTCCGTACAGCTACTGGATTTACTATCTGTTCGCCAATATGTCGTCGCTCAACGCGCTAAGAAAACGCCGGGGGTTTAACACATTCGTGATGCGGCCACACTGTGGTGAAGCCGGCGACAGCGAACACCTTGCTGTGGCTCTCCTCTGTTGCCACAGCATTAGCCACGGCTTGTTACTGCGCAAGGTTCCGCTCTTGCAATACATTTTCTACCTTGAGCAGATCGGTATTGCCATGTCGCCGTTGAGCAACAACGCGTTGTTCCTCGCCTACGAAAGAAACCCGTTCTACCAATACTTCCGCCGCGGTCTGAACGTGTCTCTCTCAACAGATGATCCGCTGCAATTCGCCTTTACTAAAGAACCACTCATGGAAGAGTACGCTGTGGCCGCTCAGATCTACAAGTTGAGCCCGGTGGACATGTGCGAGCTTGCAAAGAATTCTGTCAAGCAGAGTGGTTTTGAGAGTGCGATCAAGGAACAGTGGCTGGGGCCCAAATACAAGCTCCCTGGCAAAGCAGGCAATGCTATGGTGAAGACGAACGTCCCAGATCGCCGAGAAGAGTTCAGATACCAAACCCTAAGGGAGGAGCGTGATATGTAAGTTCCACGGCAGACATGTATATTAAGTGAATTATGCTAACCTAGATGGCAGGCTTCACAAGTACATCGCCTATGGCGCCAAGGGGTCGTCTGATTCCACTGTTACGGCTGACCAACAGAGCGTGGCCCAAAGCATCATTGGCGGACACCAGTCGGCGGTACTCCGCGAACACACCAACACGGGTAGCGAGCTCGCCGCTGCTACTGCCTCTGATGAGCGAAATGAGAAGGCGGCTTGGCCAGGCAATGTTGGCAATGTTGGTAATGTGGCGGTTCCCGAGAACGATGTGGTCGCTTCTCCTGCCAGCCTTACACCTTCCATAGAAGGGTCATGGCCGGCTAATGCCCATACATCAGGGCAAGACCCCAAGCTGTTTCCAGGAGTCTTCAGCCGAGGCCAGGTGGGCAGCAACCAGTGAGGACAAGCTTACAACGGATTCGGACGGCAAATTGCGAACGCTCAGGAACGGGGCATAGGGAATAGGATAGGGGACAATGGGTCAGAGTATCGTGACAGCTCGATAGTCGCAGCATGATGTAGTCGGAATTTATGGACTTGACCTGACTAAATCAGGCTGTGTGTGGCTGTTTGAAACCTCGTCGAGTTGTGTCAGCGACTCGGGCGATTGAAGCAATGCAGCTAGCTTCCAAGTATAGTACATAGATAGCCAACAAGAATAAGAAAATAACCCACTTAGGTTGCAAGCCTACACTATAAGTTAAGATTCTCATCATAGCATCACAGGCTTTGTCCGTCTGTGCAGCAGCTGGTTGCGGAGACGGAAGAAAGACAAAGTATCTCAACAGCAGATTGCGGCCGCTATGGTACATTAAGCAATTTCGTCATGTACGTAGGTACCTGGCTTGCATTGCAGGTCTGTCACGGCTGTGCTATTATTTTATGCAAGCACCTGTGTTGGCAGTTCTTCAGCCACTTATCCACTGTATCCTTAGCAGACCCTAAAGCGTCAGCCCAGCCCCAGCCAGCATTGAGTAGCACCAACCTCCCAAGTTCCTCCTCATTGTCACTTTTCTCCACAGGCTCCGACCCAGTCTGATCAGTTGTCCCCTCCCCGGGCCCAACCCAGCTTCTCCGACTCCAAATGCACCACGATCAGCCACGGCCACGACCTCTTCTCTACCACTCACCATCGGCAGACGTAACGATAATGCCTTACGGATAAGCGCACGTCGAGAGACACACACACTGCATATACACACATCCACTATCGCACCTGGCACTATAGACACCTTGCCTTACTTTGCTTCGAGCGCGAACCTGCCTTCGTCCTTTCATCTCTCTCGCCTCGGCCTGCCTCCCCAGGTATCCGCCTAACGTTCACGGATTCATCACCATCCAAGCCTTCCCCCGTGGCACCGCTATCTTTGACACCGCAATATTGCTCTGTTCAGCGTCGTCATCCTCCAAGCCCCGACAGGCGTTTGCAACAGCGACATCCGATCTCGTATATACAGATCTGCCGTGTATCTGCTGCTACATCTTACGACTTGTAAGCTATTCCGCCGCTACTCGCGCATTGCAATTCCTCCACCATCCTCACACCACCCTTTTCTGCGCTATTCTGCTCTGCGTCTTGTCTTTCTACGCTTTGTACCTTCTGTCTTGCCGTTCGTTATCGTCCGGCCGGTGGACGTCCACGTCAACTGGCATCGCATCGCCTCCATCTGGCACCCCACTGCGCCGGGTGCTTTTATCGCCCGTCTCCGGCTAACCTCGACGTGTCCCTTCATGATGAAACTCATTTGTCTTTCAAGACTAGAGCTGACCAAGATATATTTGCTTCTAGGACTTTCTCCAACACCAGCTTGTCCAATCCAAACGAGTTCCCACAGCCCGCCTGTTTCCGGGGCCGCCGGCAGCGAACAGCGAGCCCGTCGAAGAGGGATTGACTGTGCTGTGTTTGCTGGTGAAGTAGTTGTCTACGTACCTGCAACTCTGATCCATGGTCCGCGGCCTTTGCCCGTCTAGTAACGCCCACAATTCTTCGAACCACGCAATAAAAGCAGGTTGCTCACACTTTCTCCAACATGGGTTTCTTGGGAGTCTACAAGGCCGTATATGATTACGTGCCGCAGGCTGAGGGCGAACTCGCCATCAGTGATGGAGATATTCTCTATGTACTTGAAAAGAATGCTGAAGACGACTGGTGGAAAGCCAAGAAGAAAGCCAGTGCTGACGACGAAGAAGAACCAGAGGGGCTCGTCCCCAATAACTATGTCCAAGAGGTAGGCGCGTTGGATTTCTTCGTATCGTCCATGTCGCATCATGTTTCTGATCCTGTTTTATTATTATTAGGCGCAACCCATTGGAAAGGCTCGCGCACTGTTCGAATACACCCGACAAACCGACGAGGAGCTTTCCTTTCCCGAGGATGCCGTCCTCGACGTATACGACACGTCGGACCCTGATTGGATTCTGGTTGGCCTAGATGGCGATTTTGGTTTCGTTCCAGCCAATTACATTGAGATGGTCGAAGCCGAAGAGTCTGGGGCTCTACCCTCACCTCCCCCGGCGTTGCCGTCTCGTGTCGTTTCTACCGCTACCGACGCAGACAGCTACTCCGAAAAGCCGGAGACTGCCTACTCACCCATCAGCTCCCAGGCCAACAATCCCGCAGCAGCTCTAGCAGGCGTCATGGGCGGCCGTTCTGCCCCACCTCCACGCGCTGCGACCCCTCCGATGTCACCGCAGTCTCCTGCCTCGGAGCCGTCGGATGATGAGCCGATCAGAAGCCCAGCTCTTCCTACAAGACCGGCTTCTCAAGCTGCGCCTACACGTATCCAGTCTCAGAGGTCAATAGACACTCACCTTTACGATAGCTCGGAAGTAGTCGAAGAACCACCCTACCGTGCCCCAGGCGGCTTCCACATGTACAACATTAACGAGATGGTGTCCGTAATGGGCAAGCGGAAGAAGATGCCCACTACCCTCGGTATTAACTTGGCAACGGGCAACATCCTGATCGCCCCTGAACGTGCATCGGACGGTCCATCTCAGGAATGGACAGCAGATAAAATGACACACTACTCTCGAGAGGGAAAACATGTCTTCATGGAGCTTGTGAGGCCAAGCAAGAGTGTAGATTTCCACGCTGGCGCCAAAGATACGGCTGAAGAAATCGTAAGCGCACTGGGTGAGCTAGCGGGGGCTGTCAAGGCTGAGGGGTTGCGCGAGGTCATCTTAGCAGGTTCTGGAAAGGCCCAGAAGAAGGGCCAAGTACTCTACGATTTCATGGCTCAGGGGGATGACGAGGTGACTGTCGCTGTCGGTGACGATGTCATAATTATTGACGACTCCAAAAGCGAAGAATGGTGGCAAGTTCGACGCGTCAAGAACGGAAAGGAGGGTGTTGTTCCAAGCAGTTATATTGAGGTTACAGCCTCTATCCCCCCGCCCCCGAGCAATACCGGTTTAAACGCGGCGAGGTCGACTGTCGAACAAAATCGGCTAGAAGAAATCAGGTTGACAAAGGAGGCTGTCAAGGCCGCTCAGCGCGACAGCTCACAGCAGGTAGGGCCAGGAATGCCTCTACCAAAGCGAGGCAGTAGTCTTATGGCAAGAGAAACTGGTAATAACTCTGGGCAGCGGAGCAAACAAGAAAACGGACGTGGCGAAGGCGGCAGCCAAGGCCGGTCTGGTAAATCCAGTAAGATCATATGTTGAGGCCCCTATTTGGTTTGCTCGTTGTGCTGACCTTTTGCGTCACAGAGCCGGATCCCGCCAAAGTACGCACGTGGACGGACCGTTCGAAGTCATTCAGCGTCGATGCGCAATTTCTAGGACTCAAGGACGGCAAAATCAACTTGCACAAGATGAACGGTGTCAAGATTGCAGTCCCCGTTGCCAAGATGTCGGTTGAGGATCTTGAATATGTCGAACGTGTCACAGGCATTTCTTTGGATGAGGACAAGCCGCTGTCCAACGTCAAGAAGGCCAGGGCCTCTCAAGCCGGTGCAGCCAGGGAATCGCCCTCTGTCGGACTTGGCGCTTCCGTCGGACAACCCCAGAAGCCCGATTACGACTGGTTTCAGTTCTTCCTTTCTTGCGATGTTGCTGTGGGATTGTGCGAACGATACGCCCAAGCTTTTGCCAAGGATTCAATGGATGAAAGCGTACTCCCGGATGTCGACGCCTCGGTGCTTCGCAACTTGGGTCTGCGCGAGGGAGACGTCCTCAAGGTCATGCGAACTCTGGATCAAAAATTCGGCCGGACAAAAAATGGTACTGATAAAATTAATGGCGAAGGCGATGGCGCGCCGGGTGGTCTCTTCTCCGGTCCAGGCGGGGCCCTGCGGAATAACACGAGAAAGGGCAGGCCGGCGCCCGCGATTCAAACGAGTGACGTCGTTGATCCCAAGGCATTTACCGCGAAGGGCGTTAGCTCCGCCGAGGACGTTGACACAAGGTCACCCGCATCGGCCTCGGCAACTCCTGCGACGGCCAAAACAACCAGTGGCTTTGATGACGATGCATGGGATGTAAAACCGTCAAAGCAGCCCCAAGAGCCACCACGTCCTCCAGCTACGACTGCACCCGCCCCTGTGCAACAACCGGCGCAGCCTGCAGGACAGCCAGCACCGGCTGCACAAGTGCCGGCTCTCACCGGTTCTATGCAGGATTTGTCGCTTTTGACAAAGCCTTTAGAACCGCAGCGGACAGCTCAGCCGTCAGGGCCGAGCCCGGTTGTCAGCCAACCGCCGGCCCCGGCCCTAGCTCCCCAGCCCACGGGAGCTACACCATCATTCTTTGATACGATCCGGCCGAACCCTACCGGTATGCAGACACCACAGCAAGCGATGCAAAGGCAACGACCGGCTCCACCGCAGACCGCCACAAGTCCCGGCTCTCTGATGCCTCCTCCACCCGCGAGGCCTCTGTCAGCGCCCCAGTCGGCCCAGTCGAGTGCATTTGCGCCCCCGCCCTTAATGCCTCAGATGACTGGCATGTCCCCTCAAGCATTTCAGACGCAAGTCGCACCACCAGGCCAGAGCCTGAACGATATTAATCAGGCGCGTTTGCAGCAACAGTATGCCATGCAGCAGCAGATACCCCAGCAGCAGATGAACCCTTATCCGGTCCCCCAGCAACAACCGGCTCCTGGGGTCATGGGTTTCGGCTCCGGCATGCAGCAAACGGGTGGCCAGTTTATGCAGCAAATGCAGCCAATGATGACCGGTGTGCCTGTACAAAGTCCTTTCGCAGATCCCCAGCGACAAACTCAGTTTCCTCCAATGCAGGCACAGCCTACGGGCTTTCAATTTGGTACAGTGCATGGCTTCAATTCTCAGCGAACTGGTAGCGTCAACTCCTTCTTGCCTCCCGCCTTGGAGCCGCAAAGAACAGGCATGCCGGGATTCCAGCCTCAGCAAACCGGCATGAGCGGCTTCAATAACATGAGTGGCTCTATGCAGCCTGCGGTTCAGCCTTTGCAGCCGCAGAAAACAGGCCCTCCTCCTCCGGTCCGATTCGGCGTCACGGGTGATGCAAAGAAGTTGATGCCGCAGGCGACGGGCCGGCGGGCCAATCTCTCTCAAGCAAGTAAGTCAACATCGCACACAACATGATCAAGATTGGTAGAGACTCGGCTGACACTGATATAAAGCCCCTAATAATCCATTCGGTTTCTGATTGTACATGCTTTCCACGGGCAAGACGGCTTGTATGTTCCGGATCGGAGCGAGCGAACTTCTTGCTGCGTTTTTCTATTTTCCTGGATATTCCAGCATAGCATATGCGCACTGCGGATATGCTCACCGCCGTCATACCAGTCTTCACGTATTAGATGTACTTAATATCATTCCTTTTCATGCTGCAGCAGATGCATTCTACGTAAGACCACGGAAGACGAGCTTTGTTTGAACCGCGACGCAAAGATAGAACCGGTCTGCTGTGCCTCCCGTATCACAGAGTGCTGCTTTAGCCAAGAATAAGCATGGGTGCGTAAGGATACACAAGGCATACTAAATAGTCTGCTCGTTGCCTCGCCGGTGCAGACATGTTACAGCCCAACTAGAGAAACTGTTCTTTCTACTAGCATTTTATCCAAATGGACCCATAGGCCCTGTGGCTAAGGACAAGCAGTAGATGCCCAATCGATCGATGCATGGTGGGATCAAACAGTGAGGCGCGACCATCTCCAATCCAGGTGCGTGGGCTCCCAGTGTATCTATTGATGGATATCTCCTTGAGCCTACGACATGCAGAAGAACGATACGGCATAATGCAGCCAAGAAAGATGAGCCAGTGTGCGTCGCAACCCTAAAAATGTGCAGATCTACCGAGTATATAAAACTTCGAGCCGTAAGGTAAGAAAATGCAGTGTTGTACAGATTTTCTGTTGATAAAACCCTTCTTTCCCCAATTACTCGTAATTACCATTCGCCTTTCCTGAGTGATTGTGGCCCAAAAAACGAGCCCACATGTTCGACTTGAGATCAACTAAGGCGCATGGAGGCCGAACTCCCAGTTCGCTCTACTAAGCCTTGCGTCGATGGATGGAGGCTTGCCCAGCTCGCGCGGTAACCTTGATGGGCGAGGGCTCGGTTTGAGAGGTCTTGTCTGTCAACTTGGCTGGCTGGAACCTCTTGCGAACCGCACGAATCATCATGATGAACCAATAAAAGTTGAGACTGTTGAGAGTCAGGTTACTGATGAGATACGTCACTGCCAACCACGTCGGAACCGTTGACGCCTCTGTCGCAAATTTCATCACGCCTGTTGGGGCAAGAATGGCGTCTCTTTCGGGAGATGTATCCTTGGGCAAAACAGGGTGGGCATTAATGGCAGCGTAAATGTCAGAAAACACCTTGACCGACTGGTATGTTCCGTAGACTAGACGGCTGGAAAAAAAGGTGAACAGAAGCATCAAGCCGTTGTAGAGTTGCGCGCGGGACCCGGTCATTCCTAGCTTATCGAAGAACCAGTGGATATTGAGGAAGGGTGTTGATAACTCCCAGAGAATGAAGACGCAGCCGTAGTAATTGACAAAGGGTCGCTGGAAAACCGCGGTCAGGGATGAGCAAAAATGAGGAGTTCGCACGAGGTAAACTTACGAATCCAAGCGAGTAGACGAAGAGGGCGCTGATGGCGTGGGCCAATGTGCCAAACCCGAAGACGTCCATGTTGCAGCTAGTTACAACAAGATCCCAGAGGAAATAGCCAGCGGCAAGGCCTTGAATCATGCCAGCGGCACCAGTGTAACCCCATATACGACCTTGCCAGTCCATCTGGCTGCGCTCTTCGTCAACCAACATGACCCAGATGGCCAGCGCGTTGATGAGGGTGCTCTGGACGAGAGAAACGACGTGGGCGTCCCAATTGATCCGTCTTTTCCTGGGTAGGTCGAGATATTTGCGGCCAACAATCAATCGGGATAGCAGTGGCGACACCGGGTAGTAGATGACAGAGTACAGCAAGGCGGCAGCGAAGACCTCATGCACATGTATCGCCAGGGTTGGGAGAGAAAAGTAGTCGGCCAAGGGCTGTGTTGCCTTGACGAGCCATGGCAGCGGCTCGATAAAGAAAGGGTCTTTCATTCTATGCTATCGCTCTCGTGTTGTCTGCGTTTAGATCGTTGTCGGAGAAGCGGCACACAGACGGGTAGAAGAGGTCGACGGCAGGCAGACAAGTTGCTCCTAGGACTGAGCGGAGGAGCTCGATCCCTTTTCAATAGATGTTTATCGGGAGGTATAACACCTTGTCACCGGGTCAGACCCCCGAACAAGGCTGGACTCAGAAGGCGTGTAAAGTGACTGAAGGTCTCGTGAGGCGCGTGAGGTAGGGAAGAAGTAGGAAAATGGTAGGGAGGTAAGATCACCTCGACGCGGGGAGCTGGGAGGATTGTTGGGGGAAGCTAAGCTTGATGGAGGAGGACCCTTGGAGACGTTTGTGGTGGGGCCGCGGATACGTACCTCAGTTTATCCATTCTGGCACTCCATGACCAGGCGACGCGTCAAGCTGTTCTTGGGTACATTAGCTTGTGTCACTGGCTGCATCAGCTGGGTCGGGACGGCAACCAGGGGAGCTTTAGCGAGTGTTCCGGTTTTCCACAGAGCAGCAGCTATGACAACGGCGTAGGACGCAGGAGCAAGACCAGTAACCTGTGATGGCGTCAGATGGGCTTAACATGGGAACAGGAAGGAATGTGGGGAAAGGGTATGCACATGGATGAAGCGAGTACGAATCTAGTCGACATGTGGCCTTGACTAGTGTACATTCTGGATAACATAATCTACTTTGTGAGAGAGTACTGGCATAGTCTTAGAAACCGGCAAGCAATTTCTCGATGGAACCCAATGATGGCATGCAGACGGCGAAACACTGGGTACGGCTTCGCACCTGCATGTGATCAGCGAGCTTACCTCAGCCAGCTTTACATGCAACCCCGATTCGTCGATGTCCCTCTTATACACATACTCTTCTGGGCTGGCGATTGTGTTCATGCCCACCGCCTACCTACCTCAGAATCGAACCACCTTCGTCAGCGACCTCGAATACTCAACGAGGTCGCCCACAGCCCGATCACAGCGTTCAAATGTGAATACCCAAGCACCAGCAATTGCAACCATGGCTGATCTTCTTCTTGATCTACTCGACACACGGCAGCCTCCCAGAGCCGAGACCAACCCGACACTGCGGTCAACCAAGCTAGCTTATCTGTCCCATCTCGCGGACCAAAGTCCAGCAGCCCTAACATCAACAGAGCCTCAATCCCTAGCTCAGGCTTCACAATCACTCCTTCTCTCACTTCAAGATGTCTCGAAACGCTCTCACAGGTCCATCATCGACTCGGCCTCGCATCATGCTAGTCTGACCCGCGCTTTACCTACTTTAGTCGCGGATACTACAGACCTACGCAATGCAATCCCCAAGCTTGACTTAGAGGCACTGCGTTTTTCTACCACCTACAGCAAAACTAGCGATAATGAGGACCTAGCAGAAAGAAAGCGTGCTCTCTTGCTACTCCGCAACGTTGAGCGCCTTGTTGACGTGCTTGAGCTTCCAACCCTCCTTTCATCAGCCATCAACACTGTCCCTGCCAACTACGCCTCGGCCCTTGATCTCAATGCCCACATTCGGAGGATCCATGGCCTGTACCCGGATTCACCACTGGTTGATCTGGTTTCCCGCCAAGCCGATGATGCCATCATCAAAATGACGGCTGACCTCATATCCGCTCTCAAATCTCCAGGGCTCAAGTTGGCTGCATCGCTACGCACCGTCAGCTGGCTTAGGAGGGTACTGCCTGATTTATCCTCGATGAGCTCCTTGAGTCGCGAGTCCCAGGAGCATACGCTCTCTCTACTATTCCTTTGCTGTCGCGTAGCGACCTTGGACGCGACTCTGGGGGCCCTGCAACCCCTCCGCGAATTGGCCGATGAGGAGCAGCACAGGCAACAAAGCCCTAACAATCAGTCCTGGTCCGGCGGTCAGCAGACAGAAAAGTACCTCAAACGTTATGTCGAGATCTTTCGGGAGCAGAGTTTCGGGGTCGTTTCCATGTTTAGGAGCATCTTCTCCGATACAAGCCATCCGGCCAGCCGACCTCATGCCGACGCCAAGGATCCTCTCCAGCCATTACCGTCGACGTTGTCGACTTTTCCACTTCACCTTGTCGAGATGCTACTCGAGACCTTGGGGAAATATCTCCCTACTATCAGGGACCAGGCAGCACGAGATAGCATTCTCACGCAAGTGTTGTACTGCTCAGGAAGCTTGGGCAGGCTTGGGGGCGATTTTGGTACGCTGCTAGCTGGGTTTAGTAACGAGGGCGAGGGAGTGACGAAACAATCCGAATGGGTTGATATAGTCAAGCGACACCGATTGCTGTCGGGGCGCCTTGAGTCAGTCATTGGTGACTACAAGACAGCTGGAGCTGGTGTCAAAGACGGGCGCGGAGGAACCAACAATGCCAGCCCTTGATACCATTCTTATTATACAGGTTCAACGAGATATATGGTTTGTTTATTCACGGTGGGAAATAGACCCCCCAAAAGACAAAAAAAAAGGGGGGGTGAATACTAGCCGTACCGCGAAAACAGGACGATAGCTAGAGAGTGAGCTAGCTGTCCCCCTCCAGCATCGCCACACCCAACGCATTAGCTATGTAAGTCGTGGCGAAAGATACTCTTCGCTATTGCATTTGTTTTGGGGGGAAGAGTAGAAGAGGGCAGATGCTGCTTTCAAGAGACCTGGCTGATGGCAACACTGCGGTGATTGTGATTCGGACAAGACCCGGACTCAACGGCTCGGATAGAAGCATAATATAGCTATATATAATACAACTTACGGATACCATGTATGGTTCACCTCAAGCTCTGTTACATACAAGTCCCCAACTCCCTGCCAATCGTCACCTGCTTTGGCTGGTGAGTAAACACCTACCTCAGGTACCACTAATACCCCTGTGGTTGCTCTGTTAAAAGTCATCATGATTTCGCGATTCCCCTGCAGACTCTTGTACGTATCATCGCAACAAAACTGAGAAGATCCCGTACGCGCTCCAAAATCTCAACACACAGACATAATGGCTCCGATTTCCGAAAATCATATCCACACCTAAATCCACTCACAGACAACTCGCTCTTTTTCTTTGATTGGTCCAGCCAAGTACATCTACTCCAACGGTACAGCAGACATCACCCATGGGCCCGATGTCTCAACAGACGACAACCTCTGGCCGGACAAAGTCATGTAAGTGATACAATCGTATGCCGGTAGGGCCACTCCGAGAATTCGCATGGTCTTGGCATCCTGGCACCTTAATATCTGCATTCTTGTTTTGTTATTATTATGACCTTCGTGGCTGCTCGAGCCATCACCCCCTTGCCGTTATCCAAGCTGATCTTCGTCTCATATCTCCAGCTCAGCACTTCATTGCTGGACTTGGCTCTGGTATCGCGTCGGCGGTGCTGCTGCAACCGCTGGACTTGCTGAAAACACGTGTGCAGCAATCGGGTCACCGATCCCTGGCATCATGTCTCAAAGATGTCGCCGCCGCCCCGAACAAAATCCAGACACTTTGGCGCGGCACGGTTCCGTCTGCCCTCAGGACCGGCTTTGGCTCAGCTCTCTACTTCACATCCCTCAACTCCATCCGTCAACATGCTGCTCAATCGCGCCTCTTGGGCCAGGCCACAACTGGCCATGCCACCCACTCGTCCTCATTGCCGACACTCACCCCGACATCTAACCTGGTGGCCGGCGCCCTTGCCCGAACGTTTGCAGGCTTCGTCTTGATGCCACTGACCATTATTAAAGTTCGATACGAATCGAACCTCTATTCCTACCAATCTCTTCTCAGCGCATCATCCGACATATACAGGACGAACGGCCTGCGAGGCTTCTTTGCGGGCTTCGGTGCTACGGCTGTTCGCGATGCGCCGTATGCAGGCATGTATGTATTGTTTTATGAGCTGCTCAAGAAGCGGCTCAGCGGGCTGTCCTTTGACAGAGGAGGACAGAACTCTTCACACCCCACCACGATCAAAGCATCACATGCGACCTTGGTAAACTTTAGCTCCGCCATCATGGCCGGAGCCGCTTGCTCTGTTGTGTCAAATCCGTTCGACGCCATTAAGACGAGGATTCAGTTGCAGCCAGCCATCTACCGGAACATGTATCAGGCTTGCCATAAGATGGTCACAGAGGAGGGCGTGCGGTCGCTCCTGGATGGGGTGGCTCTGCGAATGAGCAGGAAAGCGATGAGTTCAGCCTTGGCCTGGACTGTGTATGAAGAATTGATTCGACGAGCTGAGCGCACTTGGTCCTCTGGAATGTCAACGAACGGAGCAGCGCCATAGTACCGAGCCTACGCAGCCAGACAAACAGTCCCACCTCATCCAGTTACAAAATAAGCATCGTGTGGCAAATACCCAACACGCCATTCCCGGTATAATCCAATCCTACCGATCACCCTGGAACGAGTGTCCAGTATTCAAACATCTCCCTCCACCATGGGAGCAAAGCGAGGTGATCACATTTAACATGGCCGTAGTATCTTGATCCATTCTTGTAAATCATGCCGGTTTGGCACCCGCAAGGTACATGAGGAGTGCCGGCGACTTGCTTCGCTTACGGTCACTCTTCTTTCTGACCCATTCAAACTCGGGTTCGTGCCTATGTGATTTCTTGTCCTCGATCTCGAGCACTAGCTTAGATGAGCGCTTCTCGCGGAGTGATCTTGTATGCCTCCATAGAGTGTCTTGCTCCCATTCTGGAACCCAGCGTTTGATGAGTACGTAGTCAGGATCCTGGGCCACATGAGTTAGCAAGTACTGACCGAAAACAACGGTGGGGTAATCTCTTGCGTACGACATCCAACTCCCACTCAACGTGGTATGTTCTCAGCGTCTCGATTGACAGATGTTTCCTAGCCATGCGCGTGTAGGTCGGGCGGCTGCCCGCAACCAATGCAGTGTTGGCGGAGTTCGGGCTCGGCCTGTGTGAGTGAGGCTCGGGGATTTTCTCCTTCTTGAGAATGGCAGCAATAGCTTTTTCGTCAAGACCTGACTTGACGAGATCCTCCCGAAGTCGCCTTTGGTACTCTTTTTCGCGCTCCTCTTTTTCTTTCTTCTCCTTGGCCAAACGGTCCAGCTCCTTTTGGCGTTCTTCCTGTAGCCTTCTCTGGAATTCCTTTTCGCGCTCCTCTTTCTCTTTCTTCTCCTGAGCAAGGCGCTCCTGTTCCTTCCTTTTATAACGCTCCACGGCATCAGCGGCCTCCTTCTCTCGTTTCTTGGCCAGGTCTGCTAGCCGCATATCCTCCTGGTACTTTTCCAGTTCAATCTGCGTCTTGAAGCGTTTTTCCTCGGCGGCGCGAGCCTCGCGACTTCGAATATCTTCCAGGTCACGCTTTGCACGCTGGAGCTCGGCCTCTTCACGATACTCCTTTTGGATTCGGCGTTCCTCCTTCTCGCGTGCCTGGGTGATCCTCAGCTCGGCAAGCTCCTGTCGAGCCCTTTCCGCCTCATAGTCCTCTCGAGTCATGTAGGAAGACGATGGCGACCGGGAGTGGGGAGAATGGCCGCGCGAATGAGAACGGTGACGAGGGTGGTAGACCTGCATGTGGCGGTCATCCTCTTCGTCTGAGTGTTCGTTATAGATGCGGTTGTTGATGATGACAGGAGGCGGGGCCGGCGCTGGTGCCGGAGGCGCGCTGCTTGGGGGAGAAGAACGACGCTCACTGGAACGTTCTCTTGACCGAGTGCGAGTAGTGATGACTGTACGCTCTGGGGTCAGGAAGGCGGCTTGCTGAGGAGCTGAGGCGTAGTAGCTTCTGGGCCTTGGCCTCGCTTCGACATAGTGAACAGGCCCAGGAGACGGCGCTCGACGCCTTGAGAATCGGATGTCGAGCTCATCCGAGTCCGAGTAGTAGCTACTCATTGTTAAAGAAGGGAAGTAGCACGACGGTTGCGTAAGTTGTAGGCAGTGACTGTCACAAGCTCGAGTCACTGGTCGTCAAAAGTGATACCCGGGAGGTCAACCCCTTCACAGAATAGGCGGGACAAGTGGCGCACGCGACACAAACAAAATGCTGCGGTAGTAACGCAGGAGAAGAGTGAGAATGGAAAGAGGCGTTGAGGAGTGGGAGGGTGAGATCTGGTGACCCTTTATGCTTTCCCTAGCTTAGGGCACAAGACGGCCGGGGGTGGATGGGGGCGATAGGATGCTTCCTCCGTAGTCGGAACACATGGTCTAGAGAGGAATGGCTGGCATGGGACAGCCGACATGCATACGTCTGCATGCAAAGGCAAGAGGGAGAAGGCAGCAGAAGCAAATGGGAGACCGGGGGTATGGAAGGAGAGGAGTTCCAAGAGGCAGGGGAGGGAACCAAGGAGGGGGCACTGCTTTAGTTCGGGACGAGAAGAGAAACGGATTATTAGGAGGGGGCGCCTCGGGTGTCCAAACGGCCTTCATGAGGTGGCTGTTAATTGAAGTGTTGAATGATACACTTCATCCTAACCGATAGCGTATATTATTGCACTGCCTGGAAATGAATTCGGCACCTGTGGCTCTAAAACCTCGAGACTCTGAGTGACAGACGGAAGGAATCATCATCACCATCCATGTCCTTGGGGGTGGGAGAGGGGGACGTCGACGCCCGTTATAGTAATGGAGTGTCAGTTTACGTGTGGCCAGTCAGAGGCACGTCCTGTACGGAAGGAGGGCGGGGCAGTCAGCATCGGCTGGGCAAAGGACTGGCTGGCCATTCGTCAGTTCATCCATCAACCACGAGGATTTTGTCTTTCTGTTCTCGCCTTCCTCGTCGAGTGTTTACCGGTACTAGCCCCCTACTGTCTATCCCACCCCTCCCTCCTCTTCTCAGCTGGATTTGCCTTAGTGCTCATGCTCGTAGGGCTGCGCGATGCTGACAAAGTGGGCCTCGGCATCCAGGGTGCGGTACCACGGGTGGCTCGAGCTTCCACTCTCAATTGGGGGCCGGAACGCTCTGTCCCACTTTTCAGGAGTCGGCGTTCGACATGACTGGACAGCGCTGACGAAATGGGATGACATTGTCAAATGAGGCCAACAGCCGCCGCTGGCGGTCGCAACTTCAGCTGACCAGGCAGCCATTTTCGAGCAAGCAATGGCACAGCACTGTTTTACCCACAGCAGGAGAGGCCGCCGCTCGAAGCAGACTTTCAATCATTATAGGCTAATTAGAGTGGTAATAATAATGTAAAAGAGAATAAAAGGGAAAGGGCATGTTTGTATCCTGCGAGATCTTTCGACAGCACCGTAGCTGCGCTGGGTCTCTTGTTGCTGCTGCCCTTGGTTCATGTGGTACGCTACTACACCGGTAGGTACTCTGCTGCCCTGCCCACTGCCCCTCCACTCTCACCCGGTTATATGCAAAGTCGGTTTGACCGCAGCAACATTGTCAACCCCCCCTGGCGCTTCGGCGAGGGCCATAAGGGAGTATTTGCGATGAACCGACTCGCCACCCGGCGGCTACTGAAACAACTCTGGCCGGCTGAGGCCCATCGAGCCGAAGAACAATTTTCAAAACCCTATTGCAAAGGCGGCAGGTCCTCCCCCCCCCCCCCCCCCGAAAGTACATCGTTTATGTATCAGTATCAAGGTTTTTCAGGTGGTGGGCGAGTACCTAGCCTTTTTTTTTCTTTATCTTTTTCTACTCGAAACCCCTCGCCGTTGATTCTGCACTCTCACATATACGTGATTTCGAATTTGTCTTGACACAGCGACGAGAATCACGCATACACTACCTTAAAGAGGCGTGTCATATTCTGATCATTACTCATACTCTCCAAAGGGCGAAAGCTTGCCATGCTAACGTCGATTGCATTGATTCTGTATCCCGAGCGAGACTTTGATTTACTTGTGCTATGCATCAGTTGGTCAGCTTGGCTTTTCCTTGTATACACTGCCCCTCTCACTCAAACTAGACTGCTGTTCGTTGAATCTTGGAAGAGACTGTGCTAAATATAACGTCCGGAGAGAGGCAGGCGTCTAGCCCGGATCAGGTTTGGTCTATCCAGCGACACCCAAGGACGCCTAGCTTGATCATCCGTGATACCGCCCTATATATTGACGGCTGTCATTTGGTTACCAGAGATCAGTTTCCCGCCTTGCCGTATGCTTTTTGATTACACGAGGAAAAATGTCCCATCATTCTCACACACCTCTTGGTAATCCCTTCCGACTCTGCGTCTGTCCCCCCAGCATCGCCCCTTCCCGATACAACTTCGTCCATCATGACTGGGCCTTAAGCATCTGGTCTATGTGTTGTCGGCTGTTCTTATACGTCGTCTCCAAGTAATGCAACTTCTGGCTTAGTTTCTCCACCTCGCCCTCCTTCTCCTTGATCTGGCCCTCCAGCTTCTGTGTCAGCTGTGGCGTGGGTATTGAAACGAACCTTTTGCGCCCCCCAGCCGGAGGGCCAAGTGTCAGCAAAATTCCTTTCGAGCTGGGCATCTTCCCGTTTTGCTCTCTTGCCATCCGCTCAGGGCAAAACATCAGCTGCAGCGGACAGAAAGTAATACGGTAATTGGCGAGGGCTTCACGTACATTTTACCGACACCCTCGTAAACACCAGAGTTCGTGGGAAGGCTCGCCACCTCGTCCAGGGTCAGGCGCACCATCCGCATTTCTCGTTGCTTCGCCGTCATTTGCGTGCGGGCCTGGCCAATCTGCTGCTGGGCCACAATGGCCTGGCTCTCGATTTCGCGGATCAACTAAAACGCGAGGCGGAGTGAGCATAACTAGGTAATGTGAACTGTTCAAGCCAGCGTATAGGCCGGAGACTGCCCTCCTCGCTTACCTTTTCCAGCGCCTGGTTGGGGATAGACATTTTGAGAAGCTTGAAATTATTATCGTGGGGCAAAATAAGAACGACCTTGTGTTTGCTTTGCTAATGTGACTCTGGAGCGGATGGATGTTGCTATTTAGTGTGGATGGGATGATGATCGTGGTGGTAAGTAAAATAATCCCTCCTATGTGACTAGGCAGTGACAGACAGGCCTTGTAATATTGGAGGAAGGCCTGTATTGCTTACATGTTTATATAGTGTTTTTTTGCATGTATGCTAATGTGGGGCCTACTCGACCCTCTAACTAGATAGATAGCTTGCCTAATTACCTACCTGTTTACCTATGTGCGGGGTCCAACACAGTAGAATACAGTCAGTACAATCCACTGCTCAGCGTAAGGAAACAATAATCAGGAAATATATACCCTGTATAAGTAAGTCGATGGGTCAGTATGCCCGTCAAACCCGATTTAATTGAAAGGGTATCTCAAGGAGAGTAAGATACAAGGACTTGGGTATCCTCTTGCCCACAGTCTTGCGTGAATGTCATATTTCCAGGTGAAGACCAGGTCACCGTATCCAACCATGATTGCATCCAGAGACACAACCGTACAATACATACACTGTCATTGAACCCGTGTGTCCTTGAAGAACTCGCCAGTACACCCCTTGTACGACAGCCTTGGTCGTCAGTATAGTGCTCCGCCTTCACCACGCCAAGCTTTCATTCAGCCTTCTTGCCCCTGACGACGAGTGGTATCGACGATAGCAACCTGGGCCAAACAAGCTTGTACTCGTCCTCGCGGCCCTCAAGACATCTACGGAGCCAGATCCCCCAGGTAATGTAGTAGTATGCTAATGCCTTGTTAGCCCAGTGAAAATTAATCCTGCTGTCGGATGCAGAAGGCCATGTGATTTATACCTCCTAAGACGATGTCAGTAGGTGATTAACGCAGTTGGGAAGACAAGTGGAAGGTTAACGGAACACATACCGATTCCTGTCATCAGGTGCCACCAGGCGTGACCCTCAAGCACGGCACCCCAGGGTAGCCCGAGCTGTCGCCGCCAGCTTCGAATCTGGCTGCAGAAAGCGTTGTCCAGGTTCCAAATGAGAAAGCCCATGAGAAATACGCCGAGGCCCGTACCAACCATGATCCACATGGTCTCAAGGATTCCATGAGCCTTGGCATGGTTTCTCTTGGTTAGGACCGGGCGTAGCTGGGTCTCCATCACGTACAAACTACGCAGGACAACCTGCATAGCGTCAGCCACCATGTCAAACAAAACAAAACGATATGCATCTACGGGAAAAGGCATTTTTACCGTTGCTGTAAGCGCCGCATAACAGACTTGATGGAACACGGGATCCTTGGTAAGGTGGTAATAATACTGGCGGATTTGCAGTCAGCCTTGGCTACCTTCAACTTAACGTCCCATTTCGGTGCAGGGCAATGAAAGTACACACCGTAATGAACCCAGCCAGAAGAGCAAGGCCACTGCCCAAAAAACCAGCGAACTGCGGTGATTTTGAAAACGAAAACGTGGCAAAGACCATCAGGCAGGTCGTGTAAATCATGGATAGTTCATCTATCAGCTGCATAGGGTCTAGACGGGTTCTGTAAGTAGTGCGCTCGAATCGCAAATGGGGCCAACGCACGCCCCCTGATGCTGGAGTCATACATTTTAATGAGGTATGGAAGGCCGTGGAGCCAAGACCGACAACAACATAGCCCAGATAGGCGATGAGGAATATGCGCGGGTGTTTCTCAGAGGCGCAATTGTGCACGCCTTTGAAGCCGAGCCAGAGAAACAGGAGATTCGTAAACGTCTTGAAGGTGCCCATGGCAAAAAACGTCAACAATCCAGTATAGTTTCATGGGAATATTGTTTCCCACTCACATTACAAACTTCTGCGCAGTAGTACGAAACTGCATAGTCCTACGGGGAAATGTGAGCGGAAGTCAGGGATAATGTACTTGCTGGCTCATCCAGTACGCAAGCCACTTCTCACCTCTTCGCAAAAGTTCAGCGTGGACGTCTTCTCGCCCCAGTATCCATCTGGAACGTCCTCATTGTAGGCTAAGCGTAAAGCCTGGAACAACGGGGACGATGCCATTGCGGTCGGACGGAGTTAGTTGTAAATAGGTCAGGCTGAGCCGGAGATAGGCTACGTAGCGAGAACCCAATGACTGTTTATGGGATCACTCCGTTCTATATCAGTACAGCACAGTAAGCGAGTGTTTGGAGTGCAAGAAGGTGGGAGAGAGGGAGAGAAAGTGGAAGAGAGTCGACCCAGGTTTGAGAGCGATGGAGTGCGTGTGAGGGATCAAACCTAGCGGTAATAAAGCCGTTGCAATTGGCCTTTCGAGGGAACTGACGGTAACTTGAGGATTTCCAGGCACAGGTTCTGAGTACCAAATTCTCAAGAGTGACTATGGGAAGTGGAAAGTTAGAAAACACGGCTAAATGAAGAGAGAGTGAAGCCCCGTGTGGTGATGTTCCGGGTCGTCCGGCAGGAAGTCTGAATAATCCTAGGGTTGCCCAAGAGTGGCTGATTGGCTATGTTGAGCCTAGACTGTAAGAGATAGAGGCAGATAAGTAATTTACAGTAACGCAAGTCACCCGGGCTAGGTAGTCAAGTGCTTAAAGGGGTGGAGGCAGGTAGGATTATCGTGCGAAGGGAGGCAATTGGTTCCTCTTGCAGAAACACGGCAACAGGTACTAGATCAGTAACGTGGCTACTACCTACCTAGTATAGTAGGTAGGAGAGGATGGGAACCTGGCTGAGCCAACCGGCAACTTCAACCCGAGACATGTCCGTTCAGGGTGTGGGTTTTCCACGTTGCAAGTTGCAAGCAAGTGCACCGGACCAGTCCAGTGTCAGGCCGCGAGCCATTAAAAAGAAAATACACTAGACCATAGATGTGCTGTGGAAGCTCCGATGTTTAGTAATATGACGTACCATAGCTGCTGCACCTTGACTCAGCTCTCGAGGTGTCGTTTTCATTTTTGCCTCATGGCGCATCAACCTAGTATTGTTTTCTAAGTCTGATTCCAATTTGCAAGGCCTTCTCAAAGTATCTGGTATTAGAAACACTCCAGGCCGTAGAAAGGGGAATGTGTGCAGTGAAATTAAATATCGTTTCTTCCCGTGCCAGAGGTTCAGAGGCGTAGTCCTGGCAAAATATCTTGGCAGAGGTAAAGAGAGGCGCAGTGGTAAGTACCTACCCAGGTAGGTACTTACTTCTAGGTGCGTTGGGCATGCAATGCAGGACACACATTGGGAAACAGAATGCACCTACCTCGTTTCGCAGCGCAGCACAGCACACCACATAGTGGCTCACGCCCGTCCATTCAGCCCCGAACCCGACATTCTTCCACTCCCTTACATGCCACCTGGACTTTCGTCGTCGTTGCCTTTCGATGAGAGCCGCGCATTATCACCTCACCCAATCATCGACATACAATCACCGCTAAATTTGTAACCGCCGAGAGCAACGCACGTCTGCAAATCATACTAGTACCCATCCATTCGTCTTTCCTCTGCAAGCTACCAACCGACTTCTGTCGGTTATTTATTGATTAGTTAACGCGCACCTTGCCTAGCAGCTGCTCTCAAGGCATTTACGTCCGTCGTCGAGACCACTCAAAGCGTTGCGAGTTAACAGCCGAAAACTTCAGTTGGTCGATCCCACTGCTCAAGTACAGGACCGTACTCGACATGCACATGATTGTTGAATCCCGCAACAGCCACGAGGCATAGCCAGCCTAATTCTACCTCTAATTGGAAACTGTACTTGCTAGACGTGACCCGGTTGTCGCCATGGCCGCTCCTGCAAAGTCGACGCGCTGGGGTTCCTTTCTTCAGCAGGCCGTTGCCGGCGTGGAAGCCCGGCTCGACAACATACTCGCTGAAGGCGAGAACGGGCCTAACCTGCTTCAATCTGCTCAACCTGCCACAGCTGCCGCTAAGGATCAGCAACCTAGTGAGTAGCACTCGTCCTTCCCTTTTGTTTTTGTCGCTTCGTACACTACTGGTAAGGCCTTTCTTTCCCTGTGCTGACTCTCGCTATTACAGACCAGCCTCGATCTTCGACCAGCAGCCGTACGAATGACCGCTTACAGGAGCGTCTTGCCAAGGCTATGGCCACCAAGAATCATCCGTCATCCGACGCTCGCAGCATAACCTCCGACTTCCAGAGTGCCCGGCCGAGCGCGGACGGAGGCTGTCCTGAAGCCATTACGCCTCAGAAAGACTGTACTATCACTACAAGTCGAGACCCGAGTCCGTCACTCACCTCCCCACCGTTTGAGGCTATCGCCCACGAGAATGCTACGCAATTCCAACTCGAGCCCAAGCCGATCGACCCGCTAGGCCATCAGGAGGACCAGCTGCCTCAGACCACGGCACAGAGCGAAACAAGATCGGAGTCTGCACTCGCCGGCGGTACAACCGCTTCGTCTGATGTAACAGCCAAGTCCGAGACAATACAAACTACACCACCCAAGGATATGACGGACACGAATCACGCATGTAAACAATGCTCTGTATTCAGAACGCGCGTCGAATCTCTGGAGGCTATGGCGGAGCAAACGGCAAAGGAACAGCAGGAGGAGATACATCACTATATCGAGCAGTTAGAGGCTCTCCAGGCAAAAGTGCAATTTCTGGCACGGGATGCGGCTGATGCAGCTCGAAAGTCTTCTATTGCAGCACCGGCAGGCAGTCACGAGCGGAAGCTTGCTGAAAAAGACGAAAAGATCGCTGCCCTTATGGACGAGGGAAGGAAATTGGCTACCACTGAACAGAAACATCGTGCCATCATCAGGAAACTCAGGTCACAAGTAAACGGCGACGAGAAGACTATAGCAGACTTGCGCGCTCGCCATGACAAGCTAACGGTCGACGTGGACAAGTTACGTACCCGGGCCAGTCGTGTTGATGAGCTCGAACAATCGAACCAGGATTTGCAGATTAAATCCAACGGCATGCAGGACGAGTTGGACGCGTTGCGTGCTGAGGTGTCAACCAACAAGGCGGTAATTCAGAGATTGCGGGATGATCTTCGAAAGGCTTCAGACCAGGCCCATTCAACCATTGAGAAGGCTACCGAAGAGGCGCTCACTGCAGAGAAACGCCGTGTCAAGGACCTCGAAGACACTGTCGCTGCACTGCAGGTGGAAAAGAGCTTGGTTGTCGACAGGGCAAAGGCTAACGCCGCCGAAGCAGAGGAAAAGGCGGCGCGTGCGGCTGAGCGCACCCGTATCGTGGAGATTGAAATGAAAACGGAGCTCCAAGCAATGGAAGGAAAGCTGGAAGCGATGCGTGCGCTCGCGGAGGAGACGTCGTCTGGAGCCATGAGTGATTCTCAGGCCAAGCTACTGCGCCAAGTGGAAACATTGCAGACACAACATGCGATTGCCACGGAGAATTGGCAAGGCATCGAGGCAAGTCTGGTTGCTCGAGTCGGCAACCTTGAGCGCGAAAGGGATGATGCTCTGCGACGAGAGTCGGAAATGAGGAAAAAGGCGAGAGAGACCGTAAGAAATGACAATATGCCTCGGAGCCATAGAGTCAGGCTCCATTTGAAGTTTTCTCGTGCTAATGGGTTAATAGGCGACACGATGCAAGCGCCAGGACGAGGAGTTGCAGGAGTTGACGAGCAAGCTCCCCAATTATCAGCGAGATGTTGAAGCATACCAAGCACGTATAGAGGCACTCCAGAAGCGGGCAGATAACGCCGAGGCAGCCTTGTCCCAGGCCAAGTCCGAGCTTGAAAAGCACCGGCAGATGGGATGGAGGGCCGAAAGGATAGAATCCGACCGTCGACCTTGGCTAGAAGACCACCTATCTGGACCCGGGTCTAGAGTACATAGTCGCCCAGACTCACCATTGTTGTCTGTGCCCACACGCACCATGAGTAACGATCTTCTCTTGCTACAGAGTGTGTCGGGCAAGAGTCGCAAGATCTCAGTACCAACTAATGGAATAGACGGCTTTCAAGAGGGTTCATCAGTCGGAAGGAAAATGTCGAGCCAACCTCCGGCAAGACCACCAATGCTGCCCAGTGGCTCAAGTCTGCCCGTAGCACCATCTATCACGTCCCTCGAGTTGCCTCTCGACTCGCTGCCAACGCCTACATCGCATGCGGGCGAGAAAGATGACATGTTTGAAGGGGTCGAGACTTCTTCATCTCCTCGACAGATGTTGCAAGATATGGTATCAGTGTCGACGGTTGGCGCAGGCCCTTCGGTGCAGCTAGTGGAGAGGATGAGCGCGGCCATCCGTCGGCTGGAGGCGGAAAAGGTAACTTCGCGTGAGGAGTTGGCACGGATATCGGGGCAAAGAGACGAAGCAAGGGCCGAGATTGTGTCGCTGATGAAGGAGTTAGAATCCAACAAGACGGCGTCAAAACGCGTTACTGAGCTGGAGGGTCAGGTTGATGACTTGAATTCGAGATACCAGACGACACTAGAGTTACTTGGGGAGAAAAGCGAGCTAGTAGAGGAGTTGCGTGCAGACGTGCAGGATGTCAAGGCCATGTATCGCGACCTGGTAGAGCGAACGGTGAGGTAATGGGATCATGTGGCACGAGCACCCAGAGTAGAGGCAAAAACTGCCTCACAGTCCTGTACGTGAATAAGCCCGCGCCTCCCAGATCAAGTCAAGGCCAACAGTCGTTATCCAAGTACTGCAACTTGGACTGGGCTGTTTTTAAAGGTCTATGCCTTCCTCCTCGGCGGAACGCTCGATGTAGCGGCGAACCTAGTATGAAATGTTAGCGACGTTCTTGTCAGTATCTACTTAGCAGATACCAAAAGCCACACAGACCTCCTTGTCGGGGGCCAAGTCCAAGGCCAGGTAACCATCATTATCCCTCTTGTCGACCTCTGCTCCAGCTTTAAGTAGGGACATTGCTGTGTCACCTAATGCCACGTATAAGCAGGCGGCCCGTCGTTTACAAACGAAGATTGTATGCTAAGCAATACATACCATGACCTTCGGCAACGGCATGGTGAAGCGCCGTGTAGCCCGAAGCGTCAGTAGCGTTGAGGGGGCTCTTGTTCTTGATCAGGAGCATCACCATAGGAACTGAGCCTATGGCCGCAGCTCTGTGGATGGCGTATTGACCGCGTTTATCACGAACTCTGGTAGACACCGGAGGATCGTGACTGATGAGCGTCCTCGCAACATCTAGATTATTCTTTGAAGCCACAAAATGAAGAACATTCTAGGCCGCCCATATCAGAACACCAATCCGTTTTTGGTGTATGTTGCTTTACTGACCTGTCCGTTGTGATCTAGACCATTCTACATGTTAGGCGACTCGACGACAAACCAATAAGGGGAGACGGGCTGGACTAATATCTTACTCTTAAGGTTGACATCGGCTCCCTTTTGAAGCAGTAAATTGACGAGGGCTTCGCCGTCCTTAAGGCTTGCAGCAATCATAAGTGGCGTCCAGCCGCTGCCGTCCTGTGTATCAAAAGGTTGAAATCAGTATGAAGGGTGCACAGCTGGCCAGGCCAGGAGAGGATGCGATGAGACGGCTTACCTGGACGTCGGGATCGAAGCTGCGGTGTTGCGCAAGCAGTATAACAATGTCAATACAGTTGGATGATGCGGCCCAGTGAATCGGTAGCCTGCGATCCTCGTCCTCCCGAGTAGCGAGCATGGGCTCTGTCTAGAAAGCCTATCAGCATCTGTTTTATTCGGAGCAGTGTATGGACAGGGGGCACCTTGAGGATGGTCTCTGCAACCGAGACTACGCGGCATTGAGTCAAAAAGAGTGGCTTGTGGGGGATATGGCGGTTTACCTCTTCCTTCTCGGGCAGCGGTATGTAGGGGAAACTGATCCTGGCACTCGTTCATTGCGTCTCGTCTGGTGTAATCGGAGCAAATGCCCCAAAAGACAATCTGGTACTTTTTATTGCAGGTAAATATGCAACAGGGTACTGAAAGGGGATCGAATTACAGTGGTGGCTCTGGCTTAATCGGGATGGTCGTTGACTAGAGTGACGTTATTCCAGATGACAACGACGGTGAGAACGAGCAGAACACTAGTGTATATGAACAGTACAAAGGATTCTCAAAAGGCAAAAAAGAAGAAGGAGCACACATAAAAGCTCTACAACAAAAACACCTGAAGATGACTTGTGTTGCTTTATAGCTAGTGCGAAGCGTCAAATTTGAGAGTCTAGGCCTCGATTGTCAGAAGCAAGTGCTGAACCATACCTAGATGATGAACTTCAGCTTCTGATGTGCAAAGTACATATTTGTTATCACACTGTGTACTCTAGACCGCAGTAGCTAGGAGCTCAGAGACTATACCTGGGCTTGGTCTGTGCAATTCTATTTGGGCAGGTACGTACCATTGGTAGGATCAACTGAATATGCACTCCAAGTCAATGTTTTACGCGTAGGGCCGTCTGCTGCTTAAACCACCATCCTAGCCAGCCCCCTATTCATCTACCACATCAGCGAGCCGAGTCGCCGCGAACAACGAGGCACCATCATTTGGAACTTTGCCGATCGATCCGAAGTGTCTAATTCTTACGGCCAAGTCCGGCCTTCAACAACCTCGGCCGGAATGGACCTCGCAATGTCAAACTCGACTGGGCCAGCAGCCAACACTGCCATCCTGAACACGCTCATTGATGGCAACCAGAAAACAGCGAAATTAATCTACTCTGATTTGCCCGCTATTCCCATGAGGAAAAGACAGCGAAGTGAATTTGGTGATCTCGTCACAGAGAAACCGATTGACAAGGCAGCTGCCGAACGCCGCTTCAGACTTGAGTACGTCGATATTCAACAGCTTCCGCTAGCCCTTGCTGCCAAACAACCAGCGCCCAGCAAAACTCGGAAAATCAAGGCGCAGCCCAACGCGAGAAATGCACTCGCTCGACAGCGACCCGCCCAGAAGCTCCTTGAGGGCCCCAACAGCCCCACCGCTGCTGCCAAAGATGGACAAATGATCATGATCGAAGACAATTCCCAGAAGCCGCCGTCCGAATCAACAAGCCTGACCCAGGCAGGCACTGCTACACCACACGGCTCTAGGCCCGAGTGGCACCCCCCTTGGAAGCTGATGAGGGTCATTTCGGGTCACTTGGGCTGGGTACGAAGCTTGGCCGTGGAGCCTGGAAACAAGTGGTTCGCAAGTGGTGCTGGAGATAGGACCATCAAGATATGGGACCTCGCGACGGGCTCTCTACGCCTTACCTTGACTGGACATATATCGACTGTTCGTGGCCTTGCCATCAGTCCGCGCCACCCTTATCTGTTCTCTTGCGGCGAGGACAAGATGGTCAAGTGTTGGGATCTCGAGACGAACAAAGTCATCCGCCATTATCATGGGCACCTTAGTGGTGTTTACACACTCGCACTCCACCCGACACTCGACGTACTGGTCACTGGTGGTCGAGACGGTGTTGCCAGAGTGTGGGACATGCGAACGAGAAGCAACATCCACGTCTTGTCAGGCCACACCGGGACCGTATCAGACGTCAAATGCCAGGAAGCCGATCCTCAGGTCATCACTGGCTCATTGGACGCAACAGTGAGACTGTGGGACTTGGCTGCCGGAAAGACGATGGGCGTATTGACGCATCACAAAAAGGGGGTCAGGGCGCTGACGACGCATCCCCAAGAGTTCACCTTTGCGTCGGGTAGCACCGGCAGCATCAAGCAGTGGAAATGCCCTGAGGGAGCCTTCATGCAAAACTTTGACGGCCACAACTCCATCATTAACACACTGAGTGTCAATCAAGAAAATGTGCTCTTCTCGGGCGGCGACAACGGCTCTATGAGCTTCTGGGACTGGAAAACAGGATACCGCTTTCAAGCCCTTGATACTACGGCACAGCCAGGATCCTTGGACGCCGAGGCAGGCATTATGAGTTCGACTTTTGACCGCTCAGGGTTGCGTCTGATATGCGGAGAGGCTGATAAGACCATCAAAATCTGGAAGCAGGATGAGAAAGCAACACCTGAATCGCACCCGGTTGTCTGGCAGCCAACACTTGCACGACGCAAATACTAGCTTCCAGTGTATAGTGTATGGCAGTGCAGGACACAATTGACCAATAATGGCAAAGCAAGCATAATCATGCTAATAGATACCCGACTACTGAGTCTACCTAGTATCTGCGCTCTGGTGGTATGGGGGCCTAAAAAAATATACCCAAAGCATTAACCTCACCATCATCCCGGAATGCCATTTTGATTTCCTCATCTCCTACAGCAAGACGCATCTTACTTGGCCTCTCTGCTTTGTGTGCTTCCAGGACAATTATACCTGCACCCACTAGCTCAGTTGCCGCGCGTCGAAGCGCCAGAGCCTCGGCAACTCGTGTACTCTCCTTCAGGCCAGCCTCGCCTCTTGGTGTTCCAGCTGCCAGGGCTGAGATGATGGCAGAGTTCGAAGCTGCTGTATCCAACTTCATGATACGATACAATTCGTCCATGACATCCCCGAATGTCGTCTCGATGGTGCCGCTTCTTTGAATTTTGACCAAGAGTGAGGTGAGAAGCAGCTTGGGTCCGAATGCCAAAGATCGTAAGTATTGCTGCATGGGGTTGGCAGTTGCCTCGTTGATCGCTCTCTTGATGGTTGCTATTGTAACCATAACGGGCGACCCGGGTGCCTTGCTGTTACTCGCAGCGGGTCGCTGTCCCTTATGGCTACTTGATGTAGACTCGGCGCGGCTGTCAGTCTCGGCAAGTTCTACGGCTCGTCTGCAAATGTCCAGTGCTCTTCTGGCATCGCCGCTCACTGCAGCCACTTTTCGGCTAGCAAATTGAATAGCGTCTGGCTCTACAACGTTACCAGCCACGCACTCGAGTCTGGACTGAATGATTCTCATTAGTTGCTCGTGGTTATAGCCGGGGAAGGTAATTCTCGTCAAGCCTATGGTCTGAGTTTAGTTCCGAGGTCATACCTTACAAGGACCTTCAACGCCCAACTGACTGACCTATGCGACTACTGATCTTGTTGCTCAGGGTTCTCTCGGGAAGATCCATGGTATTTGCCACAGCCAGAACAATGAGTCTGCTATGTCGTAAGCCCGGCCAATTGAAAAAGTTGTACATGACGCTTTGATTTTTCGTCACCAGCTGGTCCAACTCGTCCATCAAAACCACGCATGGTGTGCGTCGAGGACTCGGGTTGTTGAACTCTCTCTCCAAAAGATCTATAGCCTGCGTAGGACTGACACGTTCGCCCTTGAGGGCCTCCCATAGGAGACTATAGGACTGGTGAGGATCAGTGATCTTCATGCCATTGATCTCTACGAAGAGGAAGTCGTCAAGTTCATCAGCTCTCACACAATCTTCCAGGCGAGATATGACTTCCCGAACAGTTGCTGTCTTCCCGGTCCCAGGTGTGCCGGCAATATATATGCAGCTTCCCACACCGTCCGCGATGGCTGCTTCTAAATGAGAATATACCAGGCTAAACTCACTCTCCCTGCAAGGCAAGCTTGTCGGTACAGAGGCAACATGCAACTGGGACCGGGCTAACTGGAAAGGGGACGACTTTAGGCGGTTTGGTGACAGCTTTCTGATACCTAAGGGCGTGAACTCAAGGGTTTTCTTGACCATGATCCTTCAAAATGAACACACAGGGTTAGCCGGGGAAAATGACGCTTAGCCAAGGAGTGTGATAGACTGCATACCGTCTCCGAGATGATGGCGTGGTGACTGTGCGATTCCTCCCCCGAGGTGTAGAAGCTTCGGCTTGAGCTGTCCGTTTGGGCGTCCTGGCGGCCAAAGCCCCGTCCGAGGTTGCATATGTCTGTTCTGGTGTTGAGTCTTTTGCTGGTTGGAGATTTCTGCTCGACTTGGTGTGCAACTTCACAAATTCGATCAAGTCATACACGCCCTGTTCGCTGGCATCATAAACGTCTTCCCACACAAACTCATCTGTGTAAGTTGCTGTTCTTGTGTTGCAGGCCCGGCGACATATGAACGTCTTTCCGTGGTCAGACGAGGTTCGTGGAACCTTCCCTGACGGGTACTTCGAGAAGAATTCTTGGTGTGATAGAACAATAGCTTTGCCATTTATCGCAGCGAGCGGGTTGATGTCCCAAGAGGGAGATATGTATAGTTCATTCTACAGACGGTAAGCGTTGGTGGAGGTGATCGTGCACTGGGAGGACGAACGGGTAAGAAGTCCAAACGTTTTCTTTCCTTGTTGCGGATTTCCTTCTCCGTTGCGAACCACATGAAACTGGCAGCCTTTTCGCCGTCATCCTCCTCTAGGAAATCGCATATAATAGCAACCCATGCTTCTTTAGACCCTTCAGCCTTCAATAGAACACAGTCGCCAATGTGACACTGGAAGTTGCCCATCCGAGCACCCTTTATATGAGCCTCGACAGTACTTCTTTTGCGCTTCCGGCCATGCGTATTATCGTTGACAACCAGTTCGGGCGTGTTGGCATGTGTATAATCATAAATCCATTCCCAAGGGAAATCATCGACACCGAGCTCGTCGTCCGAATCGTCTCTTATGACGCCAGTGGATTTCGCCGACTGACGGTGGGCTCGACGGCTTTTTGAGGTAATACGGGGGGCCATTGGGATCAGTGGCCATCAAACGAAAGGGGAAAGAGCTCAGGGACTTGTTAGTGGTTCGATGTAAGCTGTAATGGGGATGGCGGCAGCCGGCGGGGATTTGGGAGGGTGGAGTGCACAGGACGACAAAGCGTACCTAACTTGACGCGCCTAACTGGTTACAAAGGAGAGGAATAACACGAAAAATGACAGGATGTCACGTGTGCTAGAAAATATAGTATGTCACGTTGATAGCATCTAAATGTTGAAGCATAGGCAAAAGTTGTTAAAGCGTGGGCTGTGGTTAAAGTAGGGTAATTAACCACAGTGCTAAAATAGGTAAAACTACTAGATAAAAATCAGCATTATTTTAATTACAGCATATTCTAACCTAAATAAAGAGTATCTTAGTATTATACTTAATAAAGTGTTTATAAAACATAGAGTACTAATAAAAAGTAAAATAGAAAGATTAAAATATAATAGTTAATATTTATATTTATAATCTTATATTAAGTACATTATAGTTAAAACAATATATATATATATATATATATATATATAGTAAGTAAATAATTTTAGTAAGTAAGATACTTTATTATTATATACTTTTTCTTTATATTTTTAGCTTTTTTATATATATAATATAAATTCTTTTTAGAATAAAAGCTAAATAATGTTTACACTAGCTACTATCTAA